TAAAATAGCACAGGAAATTTTAAAACCATTACCATTTCTCTTGTATGGAAAAATTTCTAGATCGACGATTTTATTTAAGAACGAACTGTGTTCAGAGATAGTAGAGATTTGTAACCTTTTGCTATAAGAAGAGAGATTTAATTTTTGAACCAAATCTTTAGAGACAAATGACGACTGAGATCCACTATCTAAAATACATCTAGCGTGTATGGGTACGCCATGCTTTGAGTAAATAGTGACTAGAGCAGTTGCCAGCAGAACATCCTGCTTTACTGACAGAGCAGAGAGAGAGAAAGAGAGAGGTGAGAGATGAGAGAGAGAGAGAGAGAGAGAGGGAGAGAGAGAGAGAGAGAGAATTACTTGGACCGGCTTCACTATCAGACCAAGTGTTTTGAACATTGCGAGTAGTGATTATGTGTTTGAAAGGATCTATTAGGAGAAGAGCTATTTTCATGGTCATTGTGCAAGAGTGTATGATGCCTTTTCTTGCATATACCACATGAACGTTGAGACGAACAATTTTGAGAAAAGTGTTTAGTTCCTAAACAGTTGCGACATAGTTTGTTTTCATTAACAAATTTATACTTATCCTGTAAGAGAAGATTAGCAAATTTAGTGCATGCATAAATAGTGTGTGGAGCATTATTACAAAAGACGCATGTTTTGGAGTACGAGTTATTTTTATTATTTGCCGAAGAGAAGAAACCGTTTTAGAGTGAGTTTTAATAACTTTTTTGTCGATTATGATCTGAGGTTTAACTTTTCCATAATGTCGCACTTTTTCTCTAAAAAATCAAAGAATTGATTTAGCGTAGGAATATCTTTTGACCCTAACTCGTATTCAAACGACCGGTGAGTGGTAAAGTCCACTTTTTGCAAGAATATTTCTATTAGTAAGAGATCCCAATTATCGACGGGTACATTCATATTTTTTAGCGCGAGTAAGATCTGTTTTGTGGTGACCAAAAATTCCCGTAAAGCCTTTGTATTGGTTTTGACTACGGAGGGAACTTTCAAAAGGCGCTGTATATGCAAAATACTTACGCGCGATTTGTTTTCGTAGCGATTTCGAAGAGTGTTTAACGCGATTTGGAAATTTTCTTCCAAAACTTGAATGTTTTCCACCAACTGGAGAGAGTCGTTACGTAGAAAAGATTTGAGGTAAACAAAACGCTGGACGTTATTGAGTTCCAGGTTGTTGATGATTAAAGTTTCAAAGAGCTGATAGAATGCACTTTACTCTAAGAAGCACCCTGAAAAGGTTTTAATTTTAATTTTGGGAAGAGTCACTTTAGCACTAGCTAAACGTGGAGAAGTGCAACTAGACTCGTGTGCAAGAGGTTGAAGAATCTCCATTCTATGTTGAAGACCTGCCAGAGTTGAGAAGTATTTTTCTTCAGTTTCTTCCCTATCGCGTTCTTCAGTGTATTCTTCGTCCAGTTCATCAATCTGATCCATAAGGTCATCATATTTTGCGTAACAATTCGTAAGTTCAGTGTGACGGAGTTGGAACTGCAAGGGATCCGTTTCTTGTTTATAGTTATCCCTTAACCAATTAGAGATACGAGAGATTTTTGGTTTAAGCGGTTTACGTTGTTTCTTTAGTTGATCCATTGCGGATAGAGATATATCGAAATTTCACAGTTTGATATTTTGCAAATTATGGGTAAAATGTATGGGGAGAAAAGAATTACCAATGCATGGAGAGAGAGAGTGTGATGGTATCATTTTATAACTATAAAGGGGACATTCAGGACTGTAATAACTATAAAGGGGAAAAGTTAATGTCGCACACAATAAAAATTTGGGAGATAACTGTAGAGCAAAGGTTACGGTGAGAGACACCGAAAGGAGAAGAAAAGTTTGAATTTATGCCAGAAAGAAAAACAACGGATGCCATGTTTGCTTTGAAGCAGTAGATCGAGAAATACAGCGAGAAAAAAACGAGAGCTACATTTTTATATTTATTTATCTGGAGAAGGCGTACAAGTCTTTCCAGATTAGTTCCTAGACAAGAGGTGTGAAATTGTTCTGAAGCTATTTTCTTGTGGCATTTTAAAGTAATTTCTATTTAAATGGAAATAATCCACAATTAAAGTTTAAAATACAATTATTGGCGTATTTTAACGTCAATAAACGTATTTTAACCTTTAATTGTGGTTTATTCCCATTTAAATAGTAATTAAGAGATGTGGAGTTGTATGAGGCTTGTAAAGGATTTAATGTGGGGGAGCGTACACTAAAGTAGGGACTGCTGTCAGATTGGCCGAAAGTTTTTCTATATCGGTTGGTTTGCATAAAGGCACTTGCTTCACTGATACCTTACCTATTTAATTTTGTTATGAGTCTACTGACAGAGAAAGTAAGGGAGGGGGCTATTTGGACAATGCTCTTTGCTGATGATATCATGGTAGTATGTTGGAAGATGGATATGTTGGATATTTTGGAACAAAGAAAGGTTAGAGAAGAAGTTGGAACGATGAGAAAGGGCTATTGAAAAGTGGGGACTTAACGTTAGCAGGTTAAAAACGGAGTATATGTGGTTGGTAGATAGAGGAACGGTTTAGGAAATAGAATTTCTGATCAAGAAATTGACCAAAGAATACAGGCTGGTTGGTTAAACTGAAAGCGAATGAGCGGGGTACTTTTTGATCGAAAAATCAGGTAAGGGCTAAAAGAAAAGATATACAAAGATATACAAGAGTGTGGTGATACCTGCCTTGGTGTACGGCGATGAAGTGTTGTGTAAAGAAGACTCGGGAAAAGAAGATGAAGGTGAAATAAAAATGTTACAGTAGATGTACGATAAAACTAGAAGGGACGAGATCAGAAACGACTTAATTTGGGTGATTAAGTTTCGGGGTGACTATAGTCTCAAAAAAGATTTAGAAACAAATACTGCAATGGTTTGGTCTCATCATACGAAGAGATGAAAACTATGTGGGGTGAAATACAGAGAGCTGTTAGAATATATGGACAGAATGATAAACAGAAATGAGTGACTAGGAAGTGTAAGAAAAAGTAACCCCTGAAAATGTAAAAGCTAAGGAGGAAGAAGAAGAAGATAGACAAAACCTATTATCGAGAGGAGACCAAGACAAGAATCACTACGGAGCAGAGGACTCCTACCAACTAGGTAGACTGACGACCTGAAGCGTGTTCGCGGTAACTGGATGCAAGCCACACAAGACAGAGGCAGTTGAAAAGAGTTGGGGGCGACCTATGTCCGGCAGTGTTTCCGCGTGTTTACTTACAATTTTGATACTAAATATTTTTTTTGTGTAAATGTTAAAAACTTTTCAAAGACATTACTACTGTAGTCAATTTTCGCGAAAAACATTTTTAGATAAATGAAAGCAAGTTTTCTAAGGAAATAACAATATTTCAAAATATTTATTCTATCTAATAAAATTATATTCTATTTTATTATAACATGTACTATTTGGGTATTTAAATAGCAGTTTATGATAAAATTTATTTTATTTATCTATTTCTAGTGCAAATTCGACTTTTGTTGGGTATGTCAAGAGTCATGGAAACGTCATAGTTCTGCAACAGGAGGATATTTTAGGTGTAATCGCTTTGAAGCTGTTTTAAAGGCTGATGAAAAGCAGGGCACGCTAATAATTGAAGCTTTAGATCGTAATAATCAGATGCAGGAAATGTCCCGTTTTCTACACTTTTATACTAGATTTAGAAATCACGAAAATAGTCAAAAATTAGAAGAATCTCTTATGACCTGCGTAAAGCAAAAAATGGAAATTTTGGCTAATAGTTTTGGAACAACAAAGGCAGATGGTAAATAAGCTTTATTATTTTTTTCACTATAAAATGATCTTAAATGTAAAATCTGGTCCTCACTATATTTATGCATATGACTTGTTAATTTTATTGTTATTATAATGGTATTATTAATAATAGATTATCATGTTTTACAAGGTTGTCCTCCAATATGTATATCATCAGATTAATAAATATATAGTTACACTATCAAATATATTTATAATTGATAATTCAAATATTGTTAATCAGAAATTTTACTACTTTACTTCTCTTCTTTAAATGCCGTCTGCTCTGAAGAGTTCTATAGAAATGCATTTAAACCAGTCCCATAAATTCTTTAACCGTGACAGACTGGTGGCTGGTGGAGGCTGGTTGGTTTAATTAAAAGCAAATGAGGGGGTACTTTTTAATCGAAAAATCGGGTAAGGGCTGAAAGGAAAGATATACAAGAGTGTGTTGAAACCTGCGTTGGTGTACGGCGATGAAGAGTGGCATGTAAAGAAGATTCAGGAAAATAAGATGAAGGTGAAAGGTGAAATGAAAATGTTACAGTAGATGTTGGATAAAACTAGAAGGGATGGGATCAGAAACGACTTAATTAGGGAAAGTGTCGGGGTGACCACAGTCTCAAAAAAGATTTAGAAACAAATACTGCAATGGTTTGGTCTCGTCATACAAAGAGAGGAAAACTATTTATCAAAGTTGTGTCATCATATCAAAGTTGTGTGGGCAGACGGCCACGGACATAATTCCTTGCTTGAATTTGTGAAATTTTGACATTGTTAACATACATTACAACATGATATGAATTTTTCAATATATGTTCATTCACATTTGGCCACCAGCAATATGAACGTACCAACATTTTAGTACGAACAATACCATTATGTTGTTCGTGAAATAAGTCTAACACACCAGTGGCGCCGACTTTTAGAAATTCCGTCCGGTGCACCTCACCTTCGATTGTCAAAGTTTTTGTCTTTGTGCTGAAAAAGGTAGGGTGGGCTGGGTAGCCAAATTTTTAGGAAAATAAACATATTCTACTAATTTATTAACGTTTATTGAATGAAATAAATATACCTATATCCTATATCTACGAAAAACATAAACACGACATGATCAACATTACACTAATAAAAAAAATTAATACATATAAAACTGCCATTAGTCAATAGAACATGATAAGACAACAGACAACGGCTGTAAAATATTATATTTCATTTTTCTCTAGGATCGAACAAGGAGAAAGAATTCATCCTAACAGAGGACCGTTTGATGAACTCATTGCAGAGTTGTTCCAAATCGAGATTTTCCACCATGTCGCCATGAACATTCAGTATCATTACATCATTTAATCTCTTCTGGCTCATTGTTGATCTTAAAAATGATTTCAATCTTCTCAATGATGAGAAAGATCTTTCGGCCGTACATGATGAGACTGGTATTACCAGCAACAACTTTATGAATTTTAAATATTCAGGTAAAATATCATAAAGCTCGCTATGACTCCTCAGATATGTCACTATATCCTGTATAGATTCAATTTCGACATTTCGCTGTGATGTAATATCCAAGAACATGTTTCTATGAAGGGCCAGTCTATCGCCATCGAAGTCTTCTTTATAAAAGGATGTCACATAATTTGCATTTTCCGCTTTGTCCAGCGCAAATGCCTCAACTTTTCTGAGATGTTTCAATGTATCCTCCTCAAATCTTGTCGTCAAGCTAGTCACTGCCATGTCAATAATTTCATAGTACATCTGGCGGTAAAATTGTTTAACATCGTCAAAATTGTGTTCGGTTTGTCTCATGTCATCTACTTTCCTTGAGACCTTCCTTCTTTTGGGCAATATTGGTTCGTTCAAATCCAATTGCTCAGACTCTGTTGTAACATTGTTCCACAATTCATCATACCTGCCTTCATTGCGAATCGACAGCAAAGACGTTTTTACAGTTCCTACTTGTTTGGTTGCTTTATTAAAATCAAGTGCTTGTCCTTGCAGGATCGTGTTCAATGTCTCTATTCTTTCGAATATAAGTATTATAGACTTAAGAAGGAAGTAAAATCCGAAATCCGAAATTTTGTTGAGGAATCCGCTAGCTTTTGATCCTCCATCGCTTGGCTGCAATTTCTGCTGTTCCAGGAATTCACTTATATTCTCGTAATTTTTTAAGAAACTCTTCAAAGATTCAACTCTCACACACCAGCGAGTGGGACAAAATGGGCGAAGAGCTGGAGATTTATCTGAGCCTTGAAATAGCTTGAAATGGCTGAGTCTTTTCGGAGAATCTCGAATGAAAGTGATAATGTCCTTTATATCAGAGAGGAAATCACGGACATGCAAGATTTTCTGGAAGGAATCTTGAACGACTAGATTCACTCTATGAGCGTGACAGTGCACATATATAGCACGTGGCTCATCGAGAAGAATTTTTTTTTGAACACCATTGACACATCCACTCATATTCGCTGCGCCGTCGTAGCACTGTCCGCGACAATTGCCAATCTCCAATCGACAACGTAATAAAACATCTCTAATCATGTTATAGAGAACATCTGCAGTTGTGGATTCAGTCTCGTGCACACCGATGAAATATTCTTCAACTTCCAAGGAAGCATTCACGCTTCTCAAGCAGAAAGACATTTGTTCGCTCACTGAAATGTCTGATGTTTCGTCAGCAATTATTGAAAAAAATTCTTGCGAACGGACACGGTCATGAATAATTCTCTGAACAGCATTCGATAAAATGGACATTACTTCATTCGAAATATCATGAGATAACCATTTATATCCTGTTCTGCCCAACCAAGACTGCAGTTCTGGAATATCGTTAGCTCTTAAATGAAGCAGATTATTGAAGTTTGATGTACTATCGAAGTGTCCTCTGATAGCAATACCCTGAACAGTCAAGTATTTAATAGTGGAAAATATTGTGAGAAGACATTTTCTTGCATCGGTCATGTCTTTCAATTTAGACTTTGACAACATATTTGCGACGTTTACGCCTTGATCGTTCTGTCTCAATGATAGCGCCGAATGTCTGTGAAATTCTGACTTTTCGTGATCCTTGAATCTCTCTAACGCTTTACCCCACGAGTTGAAACCTTCTGTAACGTAAGTTGATAAGACTCTCTGCGAATTTATTCCAGTCGATGCTATTGGCAGCTTCAATGCGGCTGCTGTTTTGCAAATAGTACAAAAAATTTTATCGAGTGTACTGTCATATGTTATCCATGGATAAGTGACACTCCACGTGTCACGAAACTGTCTGCCCTTCTTTCCACTAGACGTTATGGTTTTACTACCATTGTAACTCTCAACAGATGTCGATGGAACTGGAACAGGTTGTTCATTCCTCGTAGCCTGATGAGTTTGTATCGGAGTACGTATTATGAACTTATCCATTTCTAGTGATCAGGAATCTAGAATGGAAATTTCACACTTCATTCGTGTTGTCACAAAACAAAAGCATTTTAATACACAATTGAAGCGTTTATTTGAAAAACAACGCATGTTCATTTTTTGAAAATTTGACTTTATATGTTGTTCGCATAAAATAGTAGTTTTTATCGATCTCGCACATTCAGTTGTGTAAAAATCCCAAATGTCCGGAGTAAACTACATAGAATATTCGGATAGTTTTAGAAAAACAACAGATATCCAAGCGGTATGTTGTAAAAGCAACACTTGTCCCATCTTAATCAACGGTTATCGCTAAGCGTGAATGATTTTGTCTATAAATTTATCAGTTCAATAAGTTGTGTGCGTTCTTTGTTAATAACAGGTGATGTTTGTTTCTTTTGTAATAGAAAACTAGTTCAGCATGGCAGAAACTGTTCAACACAATACCTCCTCTAATGTTATGAATATTATAGATGATATAGATTATTTCGCTAAGTTTCTACCGATTTTTGTTTAATATATCAATAAAAATATGAAATCAACTTGTACAATTATTTTGATATCCACATTCCTTCCAATGAATATCTTAGTAAAAGAAAGATTTGAAATAAATTGAAGCTGAGCAGTTTTTCTTAATTTGCCAAAATTTTAATTCTTGGACAATAACATGTTGTTTTTCAAATAAACGCTTCAAATATTTTCCCTTTGTACTTACCTGTCTTAATCTATGTACAGTGATGGCACATCCCCTCACAAAAAAAACGCACCGTATGCCTGACAAATTGAAATATATTCGACTGGTTTATCTTGCAACATTGAATAAACACACAAAACCAGCAAGTGAAGGATGCACGATGCACGTCCGAGAATTCAACCCGAAGCGCGCAGAGTGGGCGGGCGAGAAATTTCCTCTCCATGTATCGTTCGCCGACAGAAAATTCAACTCCATCCTCCATCGGCGTCCGGTGCTTCGCACCGGACAGATTTACCTGTCCGGGGCGCGGGCACCGCAGCACCCACGTAGTCGGCGCCCGTGTAACACATTATCTTGTAATTGATTTGGAATAACTACTCTATTTCCCACTAGGATACAATTTTGTTTAATTGACAATTCATTTCTATGTTTAAAGTATGGTTTCAAAGATTCATCACTCACTTTTCTAGGCTAACCTGATAAAATGAAATCTTTTACTTTTAATAACAACAAATCTTTGTTTGTTTCATTGGCAATATGACACACGTTTAAAGGCATTTGATCTACCAAACTAAAAGAATACAAATAGTCTGTAATTATTGTATTATCACTACAGGGTAAACGTGATAAACCATCAGCATTGTTAATTGCTGCCCCCTTTTTGTACTGCATGTCGTACTGATAACCTGACAGAGTCATAGCCCATCTTGTAATTCTTGCAGCCGCTGAAATTGGAATTCTTTTATTTTTTCCAAAGATAAACTGTAATGGCTGATGATCTGTAATCAGTCTAAATTTACGACCATAAAGATATTTATGAAATTTATTTAAAGCAAACATAATAGCAAGGGGTTCCCTTTCCAAATTACCATACTTTTTTTCTGTACTAGACAGTGTACTTAATGCAAACATGACAGGTTTCTCTACATGACCAATTTTATAACTTAAGACACAACCGACACCATAACTACTTGCATCACATGTGACATAAATTGGAAGAGATGGATCATAATGAGTAATAACATTATTAGATGTTAACCACTTTTTACTTTCTTGAAATACTTTATCACATTCAGGTGACCAGCTACTACTGAAATTAATATTATTTTGACACAGGTTGTATAATGGTTTTAATTTGGAAGACAACACCGGGATAAACTTTCCATAGTAGTTTAGCAAACCTAAATATGACTTTAATTCAGTTGTATTCTTTGGTGTTGGAGCTGAGTTAATTGCTAGTATTTTTTCTTCAGTAGGATGTATTCCTTTGGCATCTATAATATGACCTAAAAATTCTACTTTAGTTTCGAAAAATTTACACTTATTTACATTAATTTTTACATCATAGTCATGTAAACGTTTCACCACTTTTCTGACATTCTCATAACAATCTATAAGTGACTCACCATATACTGGAATATCATCTAAGTAACATTTAGTATTTTGTACCCCTGCCAAAATACTATCCATCACCGACTAAAAAATACCTGGTGCAGAGCTGATACCATAAGTTAGTCTAGTGAAGGCAAACAAACATATATGGGTGTTTATTACTAACATTTTTTTTGTATTTTTACTGACCTTTAGCTGTTCACAAGCACCTTTTAAATCTAAAACCGTAAAGTATTTATGTCTGCTTAGACATGCGAAGATATTTTCTGTTAATGGTAATGCGCAATGATCACTATTTAAGACTTTGTTTAATGTTTTTTTAAAATCTACACAAATTCTTAGTTCCTCAGACAATTTTTTTGGAACTACTACTATGGGACTAGCCCAGTTACTGTAACTGACTTTTTCTAAAATTCCTAACTCCACTAGTTTTTTTTTATTTCCAATTCAACTTTATCTTTTAGGGCAAATGGCATATCATAGGCCCTATGAAATATGGGTTGCGCATTTTCTTTTAAATTTAAATCAATTTCAAAACCCTTAACGAATGAATTTTTATTCTCATCAAAATCTGATTTAAATTCCCTTTTTAATTGTGAAATTAAACTTGAAGTTTCAAGGTTTTCCAATTCCAGCTGACGAACAAATTCATTATGTGAACAGTTAACTATTTGTCTCCAATTAGGATGCAATACATTTAACCAATTCCTACCCAACAGTGGAGTAAAACTATGTTTACTTTCTAAAATGACAATAGGTAATTTTATAGTATTGTTTTTATATTTTACTAATACATTAGTTTCTCCCACAATTTTTACTCCCTCGCCAGTTAATACCTTTAAACAATACTTAACAGAATAAATATTTAAAGCTGATAAAAACTTTTTTTTAAAGTCCTTTATATGAATGACTGTACGACATGCACCTGTATCAATGTCAAATAAAATTGAATTACTTTCTACTTCTAATACTATTTTCTCTGGAGCTGAATTTTCAGGTTCCAATGAAGACAAGAAACCTAGAAATAATAAATTTTCCTCCTCAATCATCCTGTATATCATCTTCTTCTAACAAACTAACTATCGAACGACATACTGCACTTGTATGTCCCACTTTCTTACAACTGAAACATTGCCATGCTTTGGCTGGACATTTTGATGAGTCATGTTTTATACCACATCTAAAGCATGACTTAGGTTGAACATTACTTCTACCAGTTTAATGGCCATCATCTTTCTTCACTGAAGCTTCGCTCTTTCTGAACATTACTTTATCTAACTTCCCTTCTATTGCCGCTACATTTTCCTGTTCCATCCTTCTAACTTGACCTTCTGTAAGTTCTATTGACAAGGCTATCTCATAAGCTCTTTCAAAGGAAATATTGTCTTCTGCCAGGAGTTTACGTCTTATTTGGACTGATCGTACACCACATACAAACCTGTCTCTGAGACATTCTTTCAAAAATTGCCCAAATTTACAATATTGAGCAACACTTTTCAGTTTTGACACAAAACTTTTAATATCCTCCTGAGGCTCTTGATTTGTATTGTAAAATTTATACCTTTCAGCGATAACTAACCGCTTTGGACTATAGTGTTCAATCAGAACTCTTGTTAACTCCTCAAATAAGTCTTTTAAGACACTGTAAGTCTCTCCGCCAATTAAAGAAATCAATAATGGAACTTCCTTGTCTTTTTCCACTACATTACATATAAACAACTGCTCAAGTCTCTTTGTATAAGAGGTGATATCACTTTTCGCAGGATTGAACTGCTCAATGTATCCAATTAATGACATTTTTCGACTTTTGCGTGGATTCTTTCTGTGACTCGTCGCCAAATATGTTATGTATTTAATGAGGCACCGACTATTGTACAAAACTATTTATTAAAAGATACAGTGGTTACAAACATACATTATGGATGGCTCCGTAATGGACGTAGACCCACGGCCTTCTACCACCTAACCTCACTATCGACCCCTAGTCTTTTCCACAGTGTCTCTTATTCCGCTGCCGGACTTATATAAGAGCAGTGTGGCCCGCGAACCTCCATTTTGCAATTTTTGTTGTTATGTCCTCGACTTTTGTTTTGGATCTTACCCAGTCGTTCCTCTTTTTATCTGACAGTCTGATTGTCTGACAGACAATCTGTGGCTAGTTTATTTATGTTTGCCTTGGTTAGGGTCTAGGTTTGACATCCATATGTCATGATAGGAAGGATGCATTGGTTGAACACTTTGCTCCTCAAGTATTGGGGTATTTTGCGGTTCTTAAGTATCCAACTAAGTTTTCCAAATCCTGCTCATGCTAGTCTTGATCTTCTAGTAATTTTTTCACTTTGGTTGTCTTTGTCAAATCTCAGGATTTGGCTTAGGTAGATATATTCCCGAATGTGTTCTATCTTACTGCCGTTTATAGTTATATGTCTGTGGTCATCTGTGTTTGTCATTATTTTTGTTTTTTTCATATTCATTTTTAGGCCGACATATTGGGAGCTGGCTGCTAGTTCCCCCAACATAATTTGCAGTTCCTCGAATGTGCTCGCTATAATCACTATGTCGTCAGCAAATCTAAGGTGGTTTAACTTGTTTCCATTAACGTTAATGCCATAGGTTGACCAATTTGTAGTTTTGAAGACGTCTTCTAGGGCTAGGTTGAAAAGCTTTGGCGATATTACGTCTCCTTGTCTCACTCCCCTCTTAATGGGGATGGGATTTGTATTTTCGTCTAGTTGTACTATCATATGTATATATATATATATATATATATATATATATATATATATATATATATAGATATATATATATATATATATATATATATATATATATATATATATATATATATATTATGTATTAGTTGCCTATATCTCAAATCTATTATACAATTATTAATAGCTTGTTCTATGGCCCACATCTCGATACTATTAAAAGCCTTTTCATAGTTGACGAAGGCAAGAAATACGGGTAGTTGGTATTCATTTGACTTCTCTATCCATGTTCTCATTGTCAGCAGATAATCTGATGTACTATATCCTTTGCGGAAGCCAGCCAGTTTAACCGGTTATGGAGATATCTATTAAATAGCTCTGTTAGTACAGGGATTGTTAATGTCTTGCTTGTTTTCAAGAGCTCGACAAATATACTGTCGTGTCCTGGAGCTTTATTATTTTTTAGTTCTTTTAAAGCTCTTTCTATTTAGTATCCCTTTATATTTGGTAGTACTTCTGATCCCACGTTTTTCATTTTTCTTTTGACGCTCTCCTTTGTTGTTTCATTAGGCTGGCCTTGCGAGCTGTACAAGGATGTGTAGAAGTCTTCGAAAATATTTATTGTTTTATATTTGGCCTTCTGTACCTTATTGTTGGCGTCAATAATTTTGATGATTTTTTGATCTCCCAGTGCGGGTCTTACACATTTTAAGCCTCTGTTGTTTTCAATGACTTGCTCTAGAAAGTTCTTGTTTAATTTTTGTATGTCGCGTTTTAGTTCTTTTCTAATGGTTTTATTAAGTTCTCTATATTCTTGAGTATGGCATTTGTTTTGCGCTAGTAGTTGTCTTCTTTCCGTCGGTAGCTGTTTAGTTTCATTGCTTATTTTGTCTTCTTTAGTTCTTGTTTTCTTTGCGACCTGTAGTCGTGCTGCGAGAAGGTTGTTATTTAGGTTTTTATTAATCTCGTCAATTTGATCTTGATTATGTAAAGGATCAGATTCGACCTTATCAGCTAAGACCTCTCGAAATTGCTCTTCACTTGTTTAAAAACATCTATCCTTGTTGTTTTTTTTAAATCCTTTTTCTCTCTTCTTTCATGTAAATATTTATTTTTGCTCTGACTATACGATGGTCACTACCCGTTGTTACGTTGTTTATTGTTGTGACGTCTTCAAATATTTCTTTGTTGTTTGAGAGAAAATAGTCTATTTCATTTTTGGTAGTTTCGTTAGGTACGACCCATGTCCACTTTCTGTTAGGTTACTTTTTGTAGAAGCTATTCATAACATACATGTTTTCTTGTTCCAGGAATTCCATGAGTTTTCTCCTCTTGTGTTTCTTGTGCCGAATCCAAAATTTCCAATCTTGCTTTCAGAGTCTTCAATCTTACTTCCAATTTTGGCGTTAAAGTCTCCCATTATTATTATTTTGGATTCTTTGTTGTTGTCTATCTAGCTATCTATGTTGTCTGTCTATATAGCTAGTCTATCCGTAGCCTTAGCACGGCGTGCACACTTATTTCCATAGTATAACTTAACTAAATCTATTCTTTATTCACTAGAATATACCATTTATATAAGTTCTTACAATAATATCTCTGAATAATTAGTCGTTGACAAATCTCAAATAAAAAATATTCTGGTAGACACCAAAGAAGTGATTTTTTTTATAAAAAGTAAATTAATATCTTTAACAACGGCGTGTTGATATCGATTTAAATCTTGATTGAATTATTGTATTGGAGGTCACCTAGAATATTTAATTGGTTAATTTGGTAAAATTTTATGTTTTTCTTGCTATTACTGATATTGAACTGATACTCAAAAGTAGTAATTTTGATTTTACAAACATTCATAAAAACAATTTTTTTTAGAAAATGTTGACAAAAGTACCAAATTTATAGAGGATGGTGTACGAGAACTACTCAAAGCAAGAAGAGTTTTATGTGGTTCTTATGTTTATGGCTATTACCTCGAAGACGACGGATACAACAAAACTATTTTTGAGTTTATGCAAGTAGGTTAATTTTATTATTCTTGGAAAAGCAAAAACTGTTGCTAAATGTTTATTAAAATTATATTTGCAAATATTTTTACATCCACAGTATTTCTGATACAAATATCTTACGTTGTCAATACTTTTTTTTAAAATTTTTTGGTATAGACATTTTTTAATAAACTATTTAAGTAATTTGTAGCATATAATATTTTAACCCAGTTGATTTTTTAGAATGAGTTAGAAGAAGTAACAGAAAAGTTAAGTGAAATGATAGCTAGACCTTATTTGCGCACACCAAAGGCTGTGATAATTCAAACGTCTGCTCTGGCGAGAAGAAAAAGACACGAGTTCGTAAGAGCTATTGAACAGGGACTTATACCTCCTGAAACCCCACCAGCACTTAGAAAACAGAAATGTTTAGATGTAAGTCAACAGATATTTGATTATAACACGGTTTTTATGTTCATTTTATCCTTAATTGGATATACCTTGATTGATTAAATGATGTTTGGGAATATTAAGTAATAAATTTACATTTGTACTTTTTTGTTATCTTGTACACTGCTTTAAACTTGAATATGGTTAGATCTGGATAGATGGCCATACTTAAAGAGATAACATGGACATGCATAATATTTTTGTTTTACATTTAATCATAGATATCTCCGTGTGTATAGAATAAAATCACTTTATACAGTGTAGGTAAATGTTTATGGTCGGTATGGTAAAATTTAACAGGATATCTAACGCAGATATAAAATCATATTTTCAGCGAATACACAAAGATAACAATCATATTTCCCCTTGGGCTCCCCTCCATATATATTTTTAACACTCATTGCTCATTCGTGAGACGAATAGTTCCGATCAGAGATATTTTACATTATTCTCTGGTTCCGATCCTAATCTACCTAAAAAACTAGAGGTGGATCCTCTCGTTTTTTAAATTTTTATCGGAACCGTTTTTCGTAAACTGTAACTAGTTGATTGTTTACCAGTATTCAAATTAGCGAGTACACAAACGTATTGGCTATTATCATTTATGTGTATATGTATTGAAGTGAAAGAACCTAACGAAGGATATATTTCTTACAACTTGAAAAATAAATTAAACAATACAAATAGTACTTACATTTACATTACACATTAATAAATCGCGAATCGTCTAAATTGACATTTAAAAACAAGTTTTTCCACTTTTCTTGTTAACCGTGTTCTTCTTTCATTTAAAATTAAACCAGATTTTAAACATGTGTTCACAAGGAGAAGATTTTGTTACAATACTACAATATTTTATGAACATAGTGGTTAAGTTAGGATATACATGACGATGGTTTTTCCACCACGGTAATGGACAGTTCCAATCTCCGTTCGAAATTTTTTATATCATCAGAAAAATACATGTCGACTTCTTTTATATCTCTCGATACAGGTGTATAATTAGATGAGTCACGTCCAATTAATTCATCAAAAATACACCATGTACTTAAGTCATCTTTATCAGTTTCTTTTTCTGGTACTGGTTGATTTTCAAGATTTACTAAACTTATGCAAAGACTCGTTTCATCCGTTTTCCATAGGTAAAGAACCAGCTTTTAAAAAGTTTGCAGGGTGGATTCGTGGATATAAACTGCCAACAAGAAAAACTGTCAGGTTCATTACTTCAGGAATGTTATGTCAAAACTGATTTGGTAATAGATAAAATAAAAAGTCCTATTTTTGACAATTCTGCAAAAAACACATTTAAAAAAAGTACCTTATCTTCAGAAAGGCTTTTAAAGTATTGATTACAACATAAAAAAGTTCCCAAACGGCCAATACAAGACGTGGAAACTAGGTAGAACTTCACCTACTACATGTTAAAAAAAAATGACCGAGTTTTTATGACTCATCTACACGTACACCTGAATCGAGAGTCCATTACAACGGTGAAAAAACCATCGCCATGTATATCCTAACTTAACCACTATTAGTATTATAAATGTGAACACATGTTCAAAATCTGGTTTAATTTGAAATAAAAAAAGAAGACGGTTAATAAGAAGTAAAGTTGAAAAGCTTATGTTTTTGAATATCAATTTAGACTATTCGCGATTTAATAATAACGTGTAATGTAAATGTAAGTACAAGTTACTATTTGTATTGTTTAGTTTATTTTTCAAGTTATAATAAATAAATCATTAGTTTCTTTCACTTCAATAAATATACACATAAACGATAATAGTCATTATGTTTGCTTATGTAGGTACTCTCTTACTTAAAATTACTTTTAAAACAATCATAGTTACTTGTTTACAAAAATTTAAATTTTTAAATGCATTCATTTTTTTGGAATCCTGAGAAAACTAACAAATATTTTTGAAAAATTTAAATGCAGAATAAAAGATTACATTATTACCGAGGGCCGAAAGTCCCTTAGAATAAACAAAAAGGTTTTTAAATGAGATATTTGAAATTGAAAATCACAGTAATTTTTTTTCACCCTTATAACTTATTAAAATAAACATTATAGAAATTTTCAGGGACTTTCGGCCCTCGGTAATAATGTATTGTTTCATTCTGCGTTAAAATTTTTCAAAAATATTCATTAGTTTTCTCAGGATTCGCAAAAAATTAATGCATTTAAAATTTATTTTCCCGAAATTGTGTGCCTACGCTCTTAACGATAAAACTACCACGCCCCAACTCTACTACTCGTTACTCGGTCGGCCAAACCAGACCAGACCAGACCAACGTTGTCAAATAATTATTGTGTATAAATATTTTTTAATGTGGCGTTATTGTATGCAGTTTATTATTTCATATTGAGAACAAGGCACAATGTGACTTTAAAATAAGCTTATTTTGATGTTTAGATTTTTAATTCGGAAATCATACTTAAAATGCGAAACATTAATAAATTTTATTTATATAAAACGATTTCCGAAGTGAAAATCAAAATGTTATATTACACTTATTGTAAAGTAAACTTGTGGCATATTCCCAATAAAAAAACAGTAAGCTGTCATTTAAATCAATTTCGCCAAAATTGGATTATCTTAGAACATTGTTCAAATGCAAAAAAAAACAACAGGTCAAATAAATCCAATAAGTTTGGCAACGTTGAACTTCCCCTTTTTTATTATTTCCAGGCATGCATGTTTGGCAATATAAAGGCCGGACCTAATATACCTCTCTCTTTCTAAACATCTGTTTTTCACTCCATCTCACGTAAGGTATATACCGACCATAAACTTTTTCCTACACTGTATATCAAAACTGTAAAATGAAAAAATATATTGCTAAACATTATTTTATTAATATAATAAAGTAATAAAACCAAATAAAGGTAAGTAAACTAGTTTTAAAATGATGTATGATCAATCCATATTTCGATTTTTGACAACTTTTTGGCCCAAATTAAATATATAAGTTAAACCATAGACATATAATACAAATAGATGAGTGTTACAATACACAATCCCTGCATGTGTTACTAATGCGCCACATTTATTGACAAAGTGACCTTAATGGCAAATGAGTACGTCAGATGGTCGATAAATCCCGCTCATTAGAAAGAGATGCAGAGACAGCTTTGCGTCAGTTTTCTCTAACGCTCTGAGGTAACGCGACTGTATGGCAGCAGTCACTTCATTTGTATTATGTACGTCTATGAGTAACTCGATTTTTTTTTCAAATCTCAAAATAGAGTCGTTTACTTACATTTCTCTAGACATTTAATGGCTGAGCATCTCTCTCTAGCAAATAGGGTGAGATGGACATCTAAATTTTGGTTAGGTGTCCATAGTAGATATCTTATCTGTATTATTTGTCAAATGCCAAATAATAACATAACAAATTTAAATTTATGGACTCAAGGAAATATTCTCCTTGACACCCAAGCTCTTTAAAGTGGTTCGTCTATAAAAATGCGTTTGGACCTTATAAGATTCTGGGAAAAACATTAAAAAGACTTGCGAAAACTGGAAATCTTATGAAAGATAACATAAACTCTGATTTTTTTCTTGGAAAATACAACGAACGTAGGCTTTTGGTCATATAACAGATAGAGCAAATCGCGTTTTTCTATGTGACGCTTGCTAAAATTGAATTTAAGGGTATCGTGGATGGCGTACCATTCTCTACCAGTTTGGTAAACTTCTACAATTATCCAGAAAAAAATTTGCTACCCCCGAAAACGCTACCAATAAACTTAAAGCTATAGGGAATTATTCGTTCAATCCCAATGCGATCCCTGATTTCGCCTTCTTTGTAGCCGATAATAATGCAAGTCCCTAAAAGAAGAGTCAACACAAACAAATTTGGTTTTGAAACCCAACAAAATATCGAAAGTACATATCCACAACCAAGGACATCAAAACAATATCATGAAACCGTGTCTCCATTATTACAAAAGCCATTTTAGATATTTTAGCTGTCTCAAAACTGACTGAAATAGTGCGTAAAAGTACAAAAAAGTGACCATTGTCTTAACGTTGCCAGAATATGTTAGCGAAATCAAAACAAAAAAAATTAAGAAGTTTTGAAAGGGTCAAATGCCTATAAAATATATTAAAATTATTTGATTAGAATGAGTACGTTGGTTGTGGTGGGGATTGTAATCATTAGTGATGTGAACTTTACTTACTTTTCAGTACTGGTAACGATTAGTTACTTTTTGTGTTAGGACTCGTTACTTTGTAACGGTTACTTTTGTTAAAATATTAGGTAATTAGGTATATATATTTTAAAAAATAGAAGTAAGCTCATAACTATAAAATTTAAGATAAGGCATGATAGCCTGTTTCATGTGTAAGAGGATTATAAACAAAACGAGAAATTTTTAATTATCAAAAAGTATATAGGAAACGAGGAAGACCACCACAGAGCTGGAACCTGGGAGTTAGGAAAGCGATTAGCGCTCGAAATCTGGACGAAGACCTAACTCAAGACCGAATACAGTGGCGGTTGGGAGTCGGACAACGTCGTAAGACGTTATAAAACCGAATGTATATATATATATATATATATATATATATATATATATATATATATATATATATATATATATATATATATATATATATATATATATATGTATATTGTAAATATCAAAAATAAAATAATTAACAATAAAAATGAAAAAAAATCTTTTAAAATGTACTTGACTTATTATAGGTTTTCATTGCAGTTTACAAATAAAATAGTTTCATATCATAGTTTCAAAAACATTTTTTTATTTCATGCGGTTCCTTCGTTCTATAATGACTTGGCCTGCCTTAGAAAATACACGCTCACATGGAATGGATGTAGCAAGCACTGACAAATATTTCTTTGCTAATACCGCAATCCATGGATATATCTTTTCTCTTTCCTTTCTCCAGAGCAGAGGATTTTGTTTTCTTTCTAAATTCGCCTCTTTTGAAAACATTTTTAGTTCAGCAATAGCCACTGCCGTTGGACTTGTTACAATGTTTGAATATGCCTCCCATCATATTTAAAACATGACAGTAAACACCCATAATACTGCCAATCAGTTGTTATAAAGTGTGCTGTAACTGCTACATATCCTTCTGTATTAATAGAAGTCCAACTGTCGGTACTTAATGTGATATATTCAGTTTTGAGTAGAGCTTTAACTTCGAGAACTTTTCTTTCATATTTAGCTGGCATTAAAAATTTGCTAAATGTTGATCTGTATGGTACGACATAAGACGGTTCAATTTAATTTAAAAGTTTACGAAAACCCCGATCCTCAACAATTGAAAAAGGTTGGAGATCGTCTACTATCATATTTAATATTAAATCGCTAATTTTTTGTTGACATGATAATGAAATTGGTCGTGATACATATCCGTGCAGACTTGACTGTTTTTGTTTTTTAGAAATTGAATTTTTTGTCTTGTATGCTTCTCCTCTTTAGTGTATATCGTCGGTGTTACTTTATTTTGTTCCAACCTTGAAGTTGCAATTGATGTAGATGGACCTAAATTAAATATACATATATGTATGAATTAAATTGAATTGTGCACAAAAAATAAAAATTACCTGCTTGCATTACTTCCATGTTTTCTTAAATTTGATACATTTTGCGCCTTTATAAGAATATATACCGTTGCAAAAATTGCATTTCGCCTTATCATTAGTAGTGATAGCAAAGTGTATCCAGATAGCGTTTCTTTTTTGAATTAATAAATCCATAATTAGACAATAATTGTGCTAACTATTATAAAATAACTTTCAAAACATTAACGGACCAGTATCTAAACAAAATCGTACCGAATGTCCGAATGAACATCATCGAACTCATCTCTGTCAATTGCTAAATCGGTGGAAGTGCACTGTGCACTATGGGCGTGGTACGAGATAGTAAAGTTATTTTAGTTACTTTGGTTATAGTTACACACTGACTCAGGATATACTACAGAACAATGTAACGAAACCATGAAGTAACTAGTAACGAGTCTTTTTTTAATATAGTCATCGTTACTTAGATATTCGAAAAGTAACTGTTACTTTGTAACGATTACTTACTTTTTTCGCATTACTAATAACCATACATCACAAAAGACGATTCAAATCGATGTAGGTATACGTTGTGAGTTTTAGCTTTACGAGACCTGCACAAAATAATGTGGATCTGTATCACAGATGTAAAAAGATACAAGTATATTGGAAATATCTGTACAACGAATAGTTAGAGATCTAACATTTGTAGTCTATATTAAGTTTTGTACTAAAAATGTTATTTACTATTATTTTCAAGGTTTTATGTTTTTTATGTATTTTTCATACTATAGCCAACTATTCCATAGTATTTGGGAGAGATGGCCACTTTTTATTTTTTCAGATTTTGTAATTTAGAGCAGGTGTCACTAAAATCAGTATAGCCTTGGTTATTCCCAGTTTCTGATACGAGTTGTTGCCATTGTTTGTTTTCGATGTTTTAAATTGCATTGTTTATTTTAATTATAATCTCAAGTTTGATTAAAAATTTTAAGTTTAGAATCTAGTAACAGCTATTTTGTTGTAATTAGCTTTGCTATTGATAATAAAATCACAAACATTATATACATGAAGTAGAGTATAAAAAGTTAAGTTAGTTGATTTATGTTTTATGTAGTATTTGATCAAAGTCAAAATTTAATTCTCACTATGTTTATACTTTTTTATTTCAGTCCGATCTATCCCAAACCTCCGAATGGTTAAAAGACTGCGAATGGCCTGAATACGATACAGACGAAGAGACTGATATGGGTGTTACTCACAAACATTTCCCTTGTACCTGTAGATCCCCAATTAAAGATCATCAGCGTAATTTAGTTTGTCCGCGGAGCTTTAGAAGTAGGTGCAAAATATAAACAAACTTTTTGGTAAATAAAAATCCTTTTCATTTTTAGAAGGTTCAGACTACAACATGGAACTCATAATAGCCCTAGAGATGTCACGTTTACAGATGATAGAAGACAGAATGAAACAGGCTCAGCAAACTCAAGTGGTTACTCCTGATCCAAGCTCAAATAATAGCAACGAAAGTGGAGATGATCAACTTAAGCTTGCTATCCAGCTGAGCCTTCAGGAATCCACTATACCAAGATGCAAACAAAGCGAATTAAAAAGAACTACAATGGTTAAAACTAATGCGGAGTTAACAGTAGATTATTTTTTAAAATCTTTAGCAAACCATAATATAGATCTTAAAGCAATTCAGAAATTAAAAGAGCAAGAACAAGTAGATATTATATTACCTCCAGCAGGTAATGAAGATGGCAGGTTTCAGATTTCTGATATTCATGAAAATGGTATGTATAGTCGTAATGTATAACTGTTTTTGTAGTTAAATTGCTGGTAGCGCATGTACCTACTTTTTATTTTATTTTATTCATATCCTCTGTATACATGTATGTGTCGGCGAAGCGAAGTTCTTCTTTTTCTTCACGTGCCATCTCCGCTACCAAGGTTGTCTATCATCATGGCAATTTTGACCCTGGAGGCTGCCGCTCGGAACAATTATATGGAAGTGCAAGCAAACCACTCCCTGAGGTTTCTCAACCATGACATTCTTCTCCTACCTATTCTGCACCTACCTTCAATCTTTCCTTGCATAATTAGTTGTAACTAAACGAGCGAAGTAAACTCCCTCAATAAATCTCCAGTTAAAACCTTATTATACTCGTTTCAAAGATCATTACTAAATATTCATTATTAAAATCAATATTTTAATAGTCAATCAGTATACGTAAATATTCTGGCCAATACGTGCAATTAGTACGTTTTAAAAATATATCACTTTAAAAAATATTTAAACAAAATTGTCTTTTTTTTTTAAATTTTAGTGATAGCTTACTATTCCTGAAAAAAGGTGACATTTTTTTATAATGAATATCGACGGGCGATTTGTTTCCAGTCTACTATACTTAGGTTAAGTATGACACGCTATCGTATAGTAGCAAACAATGTAGATAGTGAAAAACTAGGTTTTTTTTATTAAAAAAATGCTTGCTCATATTATTTGCTCATTCTTTTTATCTTCTATATTATTTCGGCACCTCTTCGTCTATTGGTCGAATATAGAAAGTATATTATTGAATATACCGATCCAATTATTTTTATCAGCATTTTTGTATATTATTATCTTTTGGGATTTTAGTTGCTTCTCGTTTCAATGAACTGAATCATACATAAGGTCGGTTCATACCGAAGTTTTGATACAATTATGCGTAATTTCGTAATTTATTATTCTAGTAATAACTAGAATAGCAACTAAAATAATAGTTCAAAAAAATCTTGTGGTGGTTTTGGTCAGTTCTTATATCAGACGCAGCCTTCTGCGAATGAGGGATGCTTTCTAGGTATTCGTAGCACCGATACCCAGAGGGTAGCAGGGATACTTGCCGTGGAACAAAAACTGACACCTGGTAGTAGGTATAAAATGCAAACCTATGAAAATTGTGAATCATGATTTATGTTTAGGGTCGCTACCTGGGGATCGCTAGAGCACATTTGGAGCCAATGCTGGACATGACAGCATGCGGGACGTCGGTCGCAGGGTATTGAGGAGGCGGATCCCTGTCACACAATCAACTACAGGCCAACAACAAGAAGAATCACAAGTGAGACAAACAACAACAGCAGCTCCATTCGCTGAAGCTGCTGCGCTGGAACATTAGGTGGCGTTCACACAAGCGGAACGAGCGAAGCAGCGCATGAAATAGACTGTATAAACGAAAACATTTTGAGCCTTTATTACATATTAACGAACCGCGGTCGAGAAATGATCGGCTATCAACAACATCTGGATGCCGAATTTTGCAGGGAGTATCCAAAGATTGAAGTATCTGAACAGAGAATAGCAGATTAATATCGGATAATTATAAGAAATAATCATATCCCAGAGACTAGGTACAAAACCATTAAAAGCCAAGTCGAACGGTAGATTCATAACCAACAGCAAGTTGTTGATCCAGACCCTAGAGAAATCCATAATGAACAGACTTCTGAGTCTCTCATACAAGAAACCCAACCTATTGATACGCAGCATGACAACAACAAATTGCACAATAGCCTGGTTAGTGAAATGACAAGTGCCGTAAAAGAGTTTAATGGCACAAACCCACTTAGCAAACCGCCGCTACCAAATATAGAATCTTCAATGAAATTGGATGCGCTGTTACCTGAATACTGAAGTCCTACCCAATTATATTGTGAAAGCCCATAGATAAGAATATTTGTATTTGCTAATTTACTGTGTAGCAACACCAATTGCTAATACTGAGAGCGTTAAGATCAGAACACAACGAGCTACTAATAACAGAAGGACTGAAAACAGAATTGCACCCTGGAAAAAATGGCTACTGAAAAAATTGAATTATTGCGTAGAAATATAGGATAAATTACGGAATACATCCGAGAACCAAGAATTCGAAAAGTAGTTAAAAGAACTGAAGAAGTAATTCTGAATACTCCACGACACTTACAACATGATCCAGAAAACAACACAGCTCAATACTGCATGGATAAATTAAAACAAACACTCTTTATTTTTAGATCGCCTAAAAATATACCAAATTAGTAACACCCGAAAAAGCGACAATATACTTTTTAAGGATGCAGAGAAGGCTTTCTATAGGCAACTAAACACCAGAATAGAAAATGAAAATAAATCCTACCCAAGCCAAGAAGAAATTCATGAGTTTTGGGAAACTCAACTTTCGACACCAGTTACTAATACCAATAATACTTAATAAATTGAAGACACGACGAACAACTGTCAATACTACAGTAAGATTTCCTATGTACCTTTCACCATTAAAGAAGTCTCGAACATTATCAAAGAGCTTCATAATTGGAAATCTCCTGGAAGAGACGGAGTTCAAAATTTCTGACTAAAAAGTTGCAGAATGTCCATGAGCTTTAAAAAGAAAAAAAAATCCTGTTATTCCTACTACGCCAAAAATACCACAACTTTTTACTTAGCTAACCACTAATTCAATGACGGAGGACCACAATAACACCATCCAGCCAAGTACCGCCCAATTACTTGTCCTTCAAATTTGTACAAATTGTCAAATCCTGTGTAGCCCAGCGTGTATACCAACACTGTTCTCTAAATAATATCATAAAGCCTTAACAGAAAGGATAGGTTAAGGTTTCCATGGGCTGCAAAGAACAACAATCGACTCAGTCATCTCCAACCCAGCTTCTTCTTCTTCTTTTTGTGCCACTCCTATCGGAGATTGGAAATCATCAAGCCTATTCTGACCTTGTTTATGGCTGACCTAAAGAGTTCATTAGTGGTGCAGCCAAATCACTCTCTCAAATTCCGCAACCATGACATTCTTCTACGGCCTGGATTCCGTTTTCCTTCTATTTTTCCCTGCGTACCACCAAGCGTACACCAACAAAAAAAGAAACGTTTTTACCGCTTTCATTGACTACAGGAAGGCCTTTGATTTAGTACTACATAATTTACTTATAGATATATTGAAAATATTTAAAGTCGATGATAATATGGTGACATTCTTAAAACATTATAATATTGATGTGGAAGACTAAAATTCACCTTCAAATACCCGGTAAAAACAACATCAAGTGACCTTTTTAAAACATATAATGACGAAGTGTTAAAATAAAATTCGCCTTTAAATGTTCCGTAAAAATAACATCGCAACTGTAGATCTCAATTAACCGAGGATAATTTCCAGGGGGACTCGTTGAGACCACTTTGGTTCTGTTTAGCGATGTACCTACTATCTTAGCTACTGAATTCAACTGACTTAGGTTTAAGTACCAAAATTAATAATACATTTTAAACATAAATGTGTGCTTTTTAAACATAAGATTAAATGTACAGGGTAATCCACGCAATTGTGGAATAGTTTATAATCCTTATTTTTAATGAAACACCCTATATATTTTATGTTTTTAAAATACTTTTAAAAACCTAATTTCAATGAACTATATTCTGTAGCGTCTATAATGAATAATACAAGGTGAAATTTTGAAATAAATAATGTATCACGTATTATGGTATTATTTTAAATTAGCTAAATACATACAATAGACTTCTACTCGTAAGTGTCAATCATCGAGCAAAAAGACAAAAGAGGGAATCTAATCCTTATGAAAAGGAGACCAAAAAAGTGGCCTCTGATGGCGGACATATCCGGAAATGCAAATGCGCCAAATTTTAATTTTCCGACACTTATAATTATAAGTTACAGATTACATATTATAAGACACTAGCTATAAGTATAATATTTTTCAGAATGTGTCTTAGACGAGAAAGTTTTAATTAATTATTAACGGTAATAGTCTAAAATGCGACGCAATTGTTAAAAAACTTCAATATAAATAAGATTTCATGTGACATTTGGGACAAACAATAACATAACAAAACTAAATTTGATGTCAAACAAGGAGTGAGACTCTCTTTCCTTGTTTAATGTGGCCTCTAAAGATCGCACTTCCTGTCTAACAACATTTTTGCCCCAACTACCTTTACATTCCCACTTTTGTCTTTTTGCTCGATGGTGTCAATACACTGTATATTGGGGAAAATTTCTGTTTAGTAACTATTAACATTTTTTGTCGTGAATAGGTAAAAACTGTATAGATAGTATGCCAATTAAACTAAATCGGTAAATAATGCGGATTGTTATCAATCAGTTGACATGTTGTTGACATTTTACATTAAAATAATAAATTCCTAATTAAACACTAATTTCTTGCAGAAATAAAAATGAAATATTCAACTAAGGCCCACCGAATTGAGATTTTAATGATGATCGGTTACGGGGAGAATTATAGAAGTCAAGTTGAAGTAGCAAACTTATTTAATCAGAGGTATCCTCAGTTAACTAATATTTCACAAGGTACTGTGTCTAAAATTTACGCACAATTCAGAGAACTTGGACATATCAAACCATTAAAAAGAAAATCGAACTTCATTGAAGATGAAGTGAAAGTGGATATTTTATTAAGTGTCGCAGAGAATCCAACGTCCAACGTGAGTCACACAACTGTCCTAAGGTGCCTCCATAAAGAAAACTTTATCCATATAAAGTGACATTTGTGCAGGAGCTAACAGAAGACGATCCGTATCGTAGAATTGATTTCTGCAAAAGAATGATGGATAAAATTAACAAATGAAATAGCTGTTGGCACAATTATTTTTTCTGATGAATAGATGAGAGGTAAACTGACAAAACTGTAGATATTGTAGATACTCAAAAGTTGAATGTTTGATCAGGTATTATAGGAGATCATATTATTGGTCTTATATTTATAGATGATAATTTGACAGCGGAAAAATATTTAAGCATGATAAGAGACGATGTTCTTCCTTAGTTGGCTAACTTATATCCCAATCCAATAGATCCGACCCTACCGCATGAAACTGTCTGGTTCCAGCAGGACGGTGCAACACTCCATTATGCTTTAGTGGTGAGAAATTACTTGAATAAAATCTTCTTCAATAAGTGAATTTGATGAAGGGGACTATTGAGTGGCCAGCTAGGTCGCCAGATCTTACGCCTTTGGATTTTTTGTGGGGTTATTTCAAGAATAAAGTATATGCGTTAGAATCAACTATCATTGAATACTTAAAAAGAAAAAATAACTACAGAAATACGGAATATTTCACCTTAAACTTTAAACAAAGTTCGGAACGAGTTTTGTAGGAGACTGTGTTATTGCCAACAACAAGGTGGAGAACATATTGAGCATTTATTTTAATGTCATCCAATCAATTACCTTGGGTATTCTATGAATTCATGGTCTTGAAGAAAATACCTAACTTCAAAATTTCACCTTGTATTATTCATAATAGACACTACATGATATATTTAGTTAAAATCGGGTTGTTAAGGAGCTTTTAAAATCATGAAAATATACAGGGTGTTTCATTTAAAATACAGATTATGCACTATGCCAGACTTGCATTGATCACCCTGTAAATTCAAATTTATGTCTAAATTTTATTCCATAAGTGGTTTTAAACAATTTTATTCCATAAGTGGTTTCCAAACTGTATATAATTTTAGTTACGTTGATTATGATGATAATACACGATAGCCTCAGCATATTCACATTATCTTTTCCAATAAGAATATGTTTATTTTGATATTGATACCCATATAAAAATGATCTCACGATCGTGTCAGTCGATCAAGAAAGTGCTAATTATTTATTAGCTTAAAACCACGTTATTTTTGCAAACCTATTTTACAATATTTGACATAAACTTTTTAATCAAGAAATAATTTTATTTCGATAAACTAGAATAACTAGATTTTTCCTTCAATTCGGTGCTTTTAGAATTTATGTAAACCCAATAATAGTGTACGCATAATAACGTTAGAAATAGAAGCTTTTTGTTATAGGTTAAAATAACTATAAAGAAAACTTTTGATATTTTTAAAGCGGAATGTTTGTGATATTGTCCTAATTCTTACGTGAAATCAAAGTTGTTTGTGCATTTTTAAAAAGACATTAATAGTTGTCAAATAATAGATTTTTTGCAATAACTAAGCAACAAATTAACAAAACTAACTTTATAAACCTTTATTTTAAAGGATTTACTTTGCTTTTATAGTAAAATTGTGTCGCTGTCAAATTTTCTGTTTTTTATGTTTAGTATTTAAAATGAAATAGCGATCTTACATTGTTTATATATATTGTTAGTAAGTAAAAAATTACGTTTAATCTATTGCCTATTTTCATCGACATATTTTGTTTACTACATATTGTTATCACCAAATTTAATAAAAGCAGGTATGATATACCTGTATCACTGAGTGTCATTATAAAATCCTAAATTCGTTGGTCTATAATTGAAGTACCTCCTTTGTAGTATTACATCTGCATACTAATTTATTGTTAAACTCTAAAGACCTCCTTGTTTATTTATATACAATTACAGTACGTACTAGTTCAACGTGATAGCTTTATAACCAATAGTTAAAAAAAAACAAATTAAGCTCGTCCTAGATGTTGAACTTGATCTGAAACGAGGAAGTTTTACCCCTATATTGTCTTCTCACCGTCAGTAACAGTTACAAGCTGCATATAATTGTAACTAAATATTACACTAAACTCACGCGTATCTAAAAAATATGGCATATTCCAAACCAGATGGATCATTAGTTGATAATTCGGTCTGTAGTTATGAAAGCTTGTGATTTTACTTGTAAGCGTCTTGTTTAAGATACTTGTTTCGTTATATCTTTCCAACAAATGCTTCAGAGTTAATATAGATCTCTTTAAATAAATTTTAGGGTATGCTTTTGAAGATGTTGATGATGAATACGATTGTGATGTTAGTTTAAAACGATCTCATTCTACTGGAGATCTGTGTGTACGTAGAAGTAGTAGGGCTCGAATCCGTACGAACATGGACGAACCGCGTTACCATTTAGATTCAGATCACAGCAGTCAGCACGAAGACAAGCCAGAAGATTTAGTACGAAGGTTGATGGCACTACCAGCTGCATCGATACGTACAAAACAATTTCTTCTTCTGCACACCTCCTATCCCGAAGAAGACAGCCAAGGACAGAGTTCTGTAGAGGACACTACTACCTCTGATTCCATAAACGCTGATCCGGAGAGTTTATGTGCAACGAAAATTACACAAAAAGAAAGCCCAAGTAAGTAATATAAAAACGTTAAAGATATAAAGCCTATCACAATTTTTATTATGCTAATTACTTACATACAACTGAAAAATCAAGAATTTGCATAATTCCTAATTAATTATAAATATTGATATATTTAATATATAAATATAATAACATATAAAATTTTTCTTTGCTGTCAAAAATGTTACCTTTTCATCATTTTCTGCTAGGAATGCCTTTTTTCTCTTTTGATTTTTTCAAACCTGAGCGCTTGTGTTCCATTTTTCCACAATTATGGCATTAAAATTGAAATGGTTTATTACTTCTCACTTTGTCATTACTAGTTCAAGCCTTATTCCATGTTTGTTTATTTGCTACAAATGCATTAGGATTTGTTTCACGGTCATTTTTGTTGTGCCTTGCCTCTTCCATTAGTAACTTGCTTTTAACAAAGTCTAATATAACTTACAAAAACAAAACATAATATCAAAAAATCTTGACAAAAACAAAACCTTGACAAAACATAATATCAATTGCTCTAGTAACTGCTGACTATGCTTTAGTCATTGCCGAGATGAACTGTGATATAACTTCACTATTGTATACTTGACCCCCTGGATTTTTAAGTTTTAACACAGTTTGATTAAATTCTGTTAAAAACATATTTAAATACCTTTACGTTTATTTCGATAATCTAAGTTTACTGCAGTTGATCCTGTGTCGAAAACCCTTCTTTTGGTAAGTATTTTCCAATGTTCCCATAATCCCTTTTGCTGAGTTATTCAATTTATTCGTTTCCAGTGCATTATCCCGCCAACATTGCACAATTAGATTTCGGGGTTTCACATCGTTTTTCTTATATACTTCTTGAGCAACATCACCTGTAGGTTCATCTTGGGATAGTACAGCTAAGACACTAGCCTGTTCCAGTAACAATGTTACTCTGAACAACCAGTTAAAGAAATTATTTCCATCAAAGGATTTGATGTTTACAAGATCTGTTTCGGCCATTATTGTCGTAGAGTTCCGTACCACGTTTTCCGTAAACACTTTTGTTTTCTGATTACAACTATGCAAGCTTCTTGAATTTCCACAACTCTGGGACCATAACGAAAAAAGTCTATTTATAGATGGAATATAAAAATAGTATGTTAACAAAAATAAAGGTTTTATTCTAACACAAATTCCTGTTTACAATATGTATGAGTTCTACTTGTTCACGTTGACACTAGTATCACTAATAGGTGGTGTCAACACTTAACTTATGAGAAAATACAATATATTACAATTTAGAATTGTAACACCAATATTTCTTACATATATTTTACCAAATACTAACCTAATTAATTGTTATTATTCTTTAAGTATTTATTTGTTTTAATAATTTAATGCACACTTTTTAGATAAAAGTCAAAATTACGACGACGAAACTAAAAAGACTGAACAATCAGCCAAAATTGCGGAATGTAAAAAACAAACCCATAACCCCTTTTCTTCCTTAAAAACTAAACTGTGTTCAGCACATATACCTAAACCAAGCTGTTTTTCCAAAATCGCTGTGAATAAAACCATTGACCGGTTGGATGAAAGTAACACCCCTAATAAACAATTTAGTAGCAATAGTGAACAAAAACATTATGACAGTACTAAAGCTAAACAAAAAGAAGATGGTGATAAGAAGTACGTTATTATTAGTGAATGTAAAAGTGAAAAACAAAGTCCAAAGAAGCACCATAAAACTTGTAGAAAAAGTATATTCTCGAAGTCAACCGGATTTTTAGTGGAGGAACAGAAAAAAGCTAGTAGAGGTAAGTATTATGGTATTTGATGACGTTTTATTATTTATTAACAGGTAATCTTTAACGTACAAATAAGGGTATAAAGGACCCCTGCACTTTTCCTATCTAAAAGTGGTTTTAGTTAAATTGGCTGAAACTTTGCAGAAAGACAGCTTTTGTCATGCTGATCAAAAGTTGTCTTTCGAGAGGACTCGGAAATCAATTGTTTCTGGTTCAATATTTATCATTGGCGTGACAAAAGCATCATATTGCAAATGGCGCACATACGGTCTCAATTTTGTTTAAGAATAAAATAATAAAATCATTTCTATTTGTTTTCATATGATGCGCCGTTTATATGAAAAAAAAAAAAATAAAACATTTTAACGCGTTCTTTTAATTTCTTTACTACATTCTCATGAACTATCCAATTCAGTAGCATCAAACCAGAACAATAACAGAAAACACCACTAATTTAATTTTTAATAGGCGTTTTATTACTATAAAAAAATATTTAAAATTACCCCCCTAAAACGTGAGATAAGTTGCAACTCTTAGCCTCATTGGTTATCGTATTCGTGCAAATATTAGTGGTGTTTTCTTATTTAATTATGTAAAAGTGTTTTAGTTAAATTGGCTGTCACTTTTCAAAGAGGTAGTTTTTGTCATGCTGATCAAAAGATTTTAGTGCTTTAAGACCCATAAATAATTTAATCTGGGTCATAGAGCTTCAAAATGTCGGTTTTTAGTCGTATTTTTAAAATAGTAAATTTGGAAACCTAGGTACCGAAATATTTCACCGGGATATGCACGTGTATATCCTACCCAAGAAATCCCACTTTGTTTTTGACAGAAAACACCAAAATGTTTAAAAGGTTATTCCTTTACCATAATCGTGTTTATTGAGATTAGGATGCCGTATGTTAAATACGTGGTACGTTTTCAAATTTATGATTTTGAAAAATCGACTAAAAACCGATATTTGTTAAGCTCTATAACTGAAAAACAATTTGAGTTTTTAAACTAAGAGCTGCAAAATCTGTCACGTTTTAGGGAGGTAATTTTTTGTACCTACGCGCCTATTTAAAATGATATTAGTGGCACTTTCTGTTATTGTTCTAGTTAAATGTTATTGTAATGGATAGTTGTTGAGAATAAATTAGAGAAGTGAAAAGTACGCATTGTGATATTTTATTTTTTTTTTGTATATAAATTTCAAACATTAAATAGAGCATTTAAAAATTATGTTTTATTTGAAAAATCTTTTACGTCGAAACGTCACGTACCATTTTTTTTTTTATTAAGACCATTATTCGTATGTGCGCCAATGATGAATAAAAAATTTCTAGTTATATGTCAAAATATGCGAAATTACTAACTCTCAAAACCGAACAAACTTCATTTACATATTTCAACCAGTTTCAGGTCAATAAATAAATTGTTAGTTTGTAAGAAAAATTTCAATGTATTATTCGAAAGACTAAAAACCGACACATTAAACCTCTGTAACTCAGAGACAATATCAGAGTCTTAGCTCAATGATAACCTTTGATCATCATGACCAAATCTTCTTGTCCTTATTCTTTGAGCCCTTGTCAGAGCGTAGTGACACTCTAAATATTATTGGCTTGCTGCCTTCATTGATTGTGATCATATGCCATATGGACGGTTTCATGTAGGGAGTTTTTATCTGGTCAGTCCATCGTGTTGGAAATCTTCCTCTTGGTGTTTGGCCTTTTACCTTTCCTTCTACTACAAATGGTTCCACGGTCCCCGTTCTTCTAGCTGTGGGGCCAAAGTAAATTAATTATGTTTTTTTTTTTAGTTTTTTTAATAGCCTGCCTTTTATATTCCAAAGCTTATCCGAAATTGAAAAGTTGGTTCTATCTAAGGGTCGTATTTTGAATTCAATTGAAATTTGGCATATAGGAGTTTGCAACGCAACACTGCCAATTTAAACGACCAAAACTCAAATAAAAAAAAGAAGACTTGTTGACTGTTTTACTTAACCTGTTTTATGGTGATTTTGTATTTCAAAACAATTTGTTTTTTGTAAATTAGCTGAAAGGAGTAAAAAAGGGCATGAAATATCAGCATGTTCAGTTGAACAAAAAAAAGCCACCCAAGCCTATTAACTAAATTGTGAGGTGCTTTGTTATTCTTTACAATGTTTAAGAGTCTTCTAGAGGGCTAAAAAAATATATTTAAACCAGCTATTAAAAACAAAGTTTAATTTAAAAATATTGTATACAAAAACGATTAAAAACTATCAGTTGAGATCTTATCTGACGTACACTGGCCCAGTGACAACTGAAATGACAACAATTGCTTTGATCGTATACTAGCATCAAAATTAGAATGTTTTAGATCCATTTAAGACCTCGTATACGCAAATTATATGCCTAAACGTAATATTAGAAAATACAAAAAACTGGATTTCGAGCCATTTTCTTTTAATTTCGTATGCGAAATATGCTCGAATGAATTTGAAGATACTACCCCAGGACACGCGGAGAATTCTTTTATAAACCCACAGGGCTAGATCTTATTCCTTTTTATTTTTTTATTTGCCCATGTTTTACCTGTGTATGTAGCAATGGGAAAAATTAGGGTATTGACCTATCTGAGCTTATAATTTTTGTTATTGTTCGGTCTTTTTATATTTTAATAAGTTGAGCTATTGCGTTTCGGGCCCTTGTTAGTCGAAGCTTGATTTCTAAGGAGTAATCGGTATTTTGGGTTATCAGAGAGCGCAATTATACAAATCTGTGTACCAATTTGAAATTCGTTACTTGGTGTATGTGCGGTAAATTATTATATGCTCTGTCTACGATCATTTTTTTTTTTTCGGAGTTGATCTGAAGTCCGAATTCTTTGCTAGTATAAGTGTTTCGTCTGAGTATCACAGGTTGCTGATTCTTCTGCCTCCTATAGTGATTCATTTATCCTGTTCGTCTAGTACTTCTCTCATTATATATTCAGAATAAATGTTTTGCAATAATGGTGATAATACGGAGCACTGTCTAGTTCCTTTCTTTGTTTTAAACTCAACTGAATAAATTCTGTGTATTTTAACTTTGGCTGAGTTATTATCATACAGATTTCTAAATAAGTGTTTAGGTACTCCCATATTTTCAATTATACTTTAGAGAAGATCCCATTTAACTAAATCAAAAGCCTTTGTGTAATCTAAGAAACAGAGCAGCATCAGTATGTTGTGTTTGCTCTTGCTCTTGACAGATATAGAAAAAGCTCTTGCTTTATAATCAATGAAGGGCTAAAGAACTTTAGCTTCTCCCAGAGATAGCCGAAAAACATTGGGAATTCGTACCAGTAAAAGAAACGCGAAAGCAGAACAGCAGAGTGTTCAATATCTGCATCCACGTTTCTTTTCCTGGTACGAATTCCCAATGTTCTTCGGCTATTTGTGGGAGTAGCAAGTTTTTTAGCCCTTCATTGATCATATATAGAGAGACTTTGCTTGCACGAGTAATAAGGGCAATCGTGTATTTGCTGTATACGGTTAGTGATTTTTTTTATGGATTTGGATAAATGTTGATTCGCGTTGCTTCTGGAGTCTCCGCTAGTATGCCATCGATCCCTGGGGATTTTTTGTTTCTTAGTTCGTTGAGAGCCTTCTCTACTTCTGCTCGTAAGATTATTGGTTCTGCCTCTCTAATTGAATGTTTTTTGTGTTTTGAGACTGATGCATCTTTTGAAGTGTCCTTGTACAGTTCTGAGCAGTAATTTTTGTATGCCTCTGCAGTACTTTCTATGTCATTTTTTACTTCTTTATTATGGTCTTGAATTACTTAAAGTTGTGGCTTGAACTCTCGGACCAAATATTCGACTATGAAATGGTTCATGACTTTTATGGCGGTTTTCATATTGCTTCAGTTCTTTATACAGTTGTTTTTATCTCTGTTGCACATACTTTGTATTCTACTGTTTAGTTCCGCTATTTATTGAGTGTAGCTTTCTGTTTTTGTGGTATGTTGTAGCATAAAATATTTGTTTTTTAGTTTAAGCCTATTTTAATAAACTTCCAGCGAATTTAACTCAAACCCCTTTGACATAAGAAAAGTGTCAGACAATAAAAATATTAGAGATATAAAAATATCTTATCTTAAATTTTTTACCAACGTTGATTCATTTTATTCTAAATTCAAGTCGATTCAATTTGTCGGTTAATATATTCTGTAATATACCGACCGAATTAGTTTTATTTGCATTTTGTATAAATCAGTCGAATTACTTATATTTCTAATTTTGTCTGTCTTTCGTTCGATTTATCTGTCTATCAAGTTTTGCTACAATTATACGTAATTTCTTCAGAACTACGACTCCTGTTCGTCAGGAAAACTCAAGTAATCAAAGTACTCTTCAAATAATTTGCACATAAGTTTCACAACAGTTTGGAAAAAACCCTATGATCTTATTTTTGGACAACTACATGACGTATTTATTTAATTTCACTGACCCTATGACGTTATGAAAGTTCAATACAAAACTTTAATATTAATAAAATTTTGAATATGCACCAAAAAGTTAAGAATGCTCTGAATTTGCTCCCGAATATCTGAATTCGGACGACTCTCAATGGAGTCAGGTATTATTCTCCGACGAAGTTAGGACCTGCCTACATGTCGACTACATGGCGTCATGTCTATAGAAGGTCAGGAAAGCAATTTGCTCCATGTTGTACACGAAAAATTGTATCATATGGAGGCGGTTCTTAAATCTTTTGCGCAGTCATTTTTATGGATGGAAAGACCGAGTTGATTTTCGTGCCTGGTGGAGAACGTGGAGAAGGTTTAACGGCGAATCGTTATATCAGAGACATTTTGTAGGAACATGTGGTTAAGTACGCAGGATTTATTGATGATGCTTTTATTTTAATGTACGATGTCATACCGTACGAACCACCACCACCTAACCGACTGAGATCGGTATACCTACAATAAATTGGCCTGATTTCAGCCTGAACATAAATCCAATAGAGCATGTTTGGGATAAGTTTAAACGAAGAGCCTAGGATAGAAATCATGCACCTAGGAGCATAATGAAATTAAGAGCTGCACTTAATGATGAATGGGAACAAGAAGTTATTAGAAAAGTCATCCCATCCATGAGAAATCGATTGGAAAAGTTAATAAAGGGTATGGGTATTAATATCAAATACTGAAAAATAAAGAAATTTATTTTAAATTTGACGATTTCTCTGTTTATAACGTCTTTCTTGCGTTAATTTCATTGATGACTATTTAGGAAACTCTGTTCGTATTGCATATTATTTTTATAATACGTCTTTCACCTAATACAATTGCAGTTTTTTAAGTTCAATAATAAAGTTATTGTTTACACATTACATCTTTTTATTTTCATACTTGTTTCATTGAAACAGAAGGTGTTTTCTCAAAGATCGCTTTTGTGTAGATTGTTTTGCACTTAAGTGTATTTATAGATTTAAATGGACTTTCATGAAAATCAATAAAATAATAAAATTATTTAGTCAAACCGATATATTATCCGTGACAAACAAAAGGGTGTTCTTCATTCTCTAATAGACTAACGGGTTATCATAGAATTGATAAACATAAAAAAATATTGTGCTCTGTATTTTGGCTATAGGACGTAAAGCTTTAACATAGCAAGTTATAAACATTATATAGGTTTTACTGAATTACTATTAAACTGGGAATAAGCCACAATTAAAGATCAAAATACGTTTATTGACGTTTCAATTTCCACTTCGGAAATCGTTCTCAAAATACAAACAGTAAATTAAACAAATTTTGTTTTTTGTTACATAGTGAAAAATTCTCATAATAATTTAATTTTATCTGACTCATTTATATTGACAATTCAGACATACATTATGCATTTTAAAGTAGACGACTTTAAAATGATATTGCCAATATTGTTGAGTTGCGCTCCTGGGACGACTTTACTTATAAGATAGTTCATTCGATTACATGAAATCAACTTTAACTTGAGAATATCCGTCAGAAAAAAATCATAGCATGTAATTCGTCTTTAAAAAGACAAACACATGACATGATGACAGTAAAATACTCCTGTTAGTGATTCCATAGTAAATTATGAGGGAAAAACCAGGAAAAAAACCTCATAATACTATCCCGACATTGTAAGTATTTGTTCGTGAATTTAGTTTACCTTCAACAAACATCAAAATTCTGATTTTATATGTTACGTTATTTAAAAAAACATAAATGATGTATCCTCTATATGTTACTGACTTACTAATACTGGTATTTTTTTATTAATAACTTCCTCTTTCAATATTGGTAACCAGATTCTACTACATTCTGCCGAGGAATTTGCTACACAATGTGGCCTCATTTAGCATAATTAGAGCCGCTTCTTTGATTTTTCTTTTTTTACCATCCGTTTCTTTTAGGACTACATTTGAATTATTCATTGAACCCTATGTTCATTATCCCATGCGTGTTTACAGATTTGAGATCTATCAAATTCTATATTTTTAATATAAGATTGATGTTCACTTATTCTAACATTTAATGGCCTTGATGGTTCACCTAAATAAAACTGATCGCATTCACAAGGTATTTTATAAATGCAATTCTTTGTCCTTTCTTGTTCATTGTTAGGTTTGGTTTTGGACAAAATAGATCTCAACGTGTTTGTTGTTTTGAATGTTGTTGAAATGTGGAATTTATTTCCTATCCTTTTAAGTTTTATCAGAAAAAAGGCATTGCTTAAAAAATACAAGTTTTCTGCTTTTTCTTCAAAATAACATTTAATAGAAGTCTTTATAATTTACGGTGTTTCAGATTCGATTTTTCAAAGTTCAAAGTTTGGATAAATTTTTGAGTTTTTCGCAAACATTGTTCTGTAACATTTTTCTACTTAAGTTTAGAATATATTCAGTGGAAATAAAAATCAATTTTCTTTAAAATGGTCTATTGCTGAAAGGTTTAGGACTTATTTTAAGCAGGATAAGATTTTTCAATTATTTTTACTTTGACCGATTTGTCTTAAGTTTTACAAAACTTTTCATTATAACTTTTTTTTCTAGTACATTTAGGTTTACTAATTACCAAATAAAAAAAGCTTATTTTCTTAACTTTAAAATAGTCTATGGTAAAATATTAATATATAATATATAAAATATAAAATATTATAATAAAAAAATACTCTAGTCGTCAGTGACTAAAATGCCACTAAACCTTTAAAAATCGTACAAACTAACGGAATTTTGCCGAGAATATAAATTTTAAGACCTCGAAAAAGATGCAAAAAATTTGTTATATTTTCTGCATTTTTTTAGGTGCACTTATTTGAAAATTTTGAAGAAAAATCTTAAATATTTACTATTTTTTAGGATTATCATCCAATCTCCGCATTAAAATATGTGATAGCCCTTTATCCAATACCGAATACTTTTTAGAAACAGATAGTTCAAATGAATACGAAAGCGAGACAGGTATTCCAAAGTCTCCTACATTATTCATATCTGGTGTATCGATATCTCGTACACCTGAACCAAAATCGACAGGCGTTAACTTTATACAAGCTGGAAGATCATCTAGGTCGTCGAGTTTTAGCATACCATTGCCTTTAAGTTCCTGTTCTTTAAATATATCAAGTACGAGTCTTAACAATTATTCTTCTTTACCTCCTGAACCGTACACTCCGTCTCTGGTTAAATCTTGTACGCCGATAACTTCTAGGTAAGAAATGCATTTTGTTATTGAAACTAATATAGACTATTTTGATGACACAAGCTTTTAAATGTTTTACTTAGTTATATTTTATATCAACAGTTATTAAAAATTAACGCTAAAACACTTCAATATAGTTATTAGAAAAGTTTTTTTGCAAGGAATTTTTGCTTATTTTATATAAAAAATAATAGTATATTTTTCATAAAATCAAGTTTTAGTTCGTATATTTTGCTTTTGTAGGTACATAAAATAAATATTTTTAACTTTCTCACTATAAAATAATGCATCGTCAAAATTATATCATCCAATTTTATAAATAAATAGGTGACAATAAAAATGATTGAACAAGTTTTCAAATCTTTTTTTCTGTTTATCGGTTAGAAAGTTCAAACCAAAAGGAACACTTATTTATTTATTACGCCTTGGCAATTAATTTATCACAATTATTTATTATATATTATTTGTTTACAATAATTTAACCTTCGGAGTACGGAGATTATTTGTGTTACTTATATTACGAAGATGGGTCAAGCGTGACCCATTCTCATTCTATTTATAAGGATGTTTTAAATAGTCAGTATTATTAAAGAGTATCTTTAATTCAACAAAAAAAAACAAAGAAACATAAAAATTATGATCCCAAATTTTTGTATTTAAATTTTTTAAGATGGTTCACCATCGTGGTGTTTTTGGCAGTAGTTGCATTTAATTTTGACAATATGGACTTCTTCGCGTTTTGAATGAGTATTACAAACAAATCTTTTACAAATGTCACACCTTTTTGAATATTTATTGTCACTACCCCTACAAGAATAACAACGACCTCGTTTTGTTGCAGATTTCGGCACTTCGATTTGCTTTTTTACAGTAACACCGGTGGTCTCGATTGCAGCGATTACGGATTTAGGGTATCCGGTGGGTTCTTCTTGTATTGCTTCCGCTCTTCGTTTTATATTGGGCGAGGTTAATTGTTTTCCAAGCTTCTCCAGAAATAGTTTTCTGCGATGTTTTATATTTACTTGGCTGTTCCATTCAGGATTTTTCGTATTCCAGAGAACGAAAGCATCGTAGCACGCAATATCCACAAAGTTGAAAAATATACGTAAGGGCCATCTTCTTGTTGCTCTTTTACATGTGTACTCTCTGATCAATTTATCTAAAATAACGACTCCACTTTTGGTTTTGTTGTAATCCAAAATAATCTTTGGTTTAAATTTTGGTTTTCATCAGAAATTTCATGTTCATTGTGTAAGGTCGATAATAATACAACAAACTTATTAGGCTTGGTTACATATGAAACTAAGGTAATGTTTTTAGTAGTAACAAAAATTTTGAAGAATACAGTGAGCGATCTGTCATTTCAAGCAATGATTTGTGTAAACTCTTCCTATTTTTTCTGATAGTACACAAAAGAGTTAAATTTTTGGCCAACAGTTCTTCAGATAAAGCAATATCGGTAAAAAAGTTATCAGTTGTAATATTTCGACCAGACCTATACCAATGTTCTGCAAGTGTTTTGACAACTCTTGGGCCTTGGTTACGTTCAGATTGATCACCAATCTTTCCAGTATATATCTCAAAGTTACAGCAATAAAAATTTTCAGCGTCACATAGGGTCCAAGCCTTTATACCGTATTTCTTTGGTTTACTTAGTATATAAATCAGAAATGGACAACGTCCCCTAAAATCTATAAGCTGCTCGTCAATAGTACTAAAAGCAGATGGTTCGTATGATTCCCTACAATTTTGGGCAAATAGATCAGCGATTTCTCGAATAGAAGCTAATTTATCTCGTTCTCTTCTTTTTGCTCTCGTTTCCAAATTATCAAAGCGAATATGCTTCAAAATACTTATAAATCTATCCCGGCTTAGAGATGCTTTATATATAGGACGCGTAAATGCATTTTGTATTGGACCATAAATTATGCACCTACTCATGGGACTCTCTGAACCTTCCACATAATATAAGTATACCAAAAAAAGCACGCAGTTCGACTAAATGAACTTCAATCCAATCTTTCATTTTTTTCTCGTTCTTACGGTTATACGCAGCTATGAACTCAACAGCTCTCTTATTGGTATACTCAAGAATCATTGACATTAGACTATCAGAAAAAAATAAATTAAAGGCATCCATGCATGTCTCAATATTTTGACTTTTCTTAGTTAGACCTACGTTTTTCTGTAATAAATTACATTCCAATGTCTAACCCTTTTTTGAAGCTAAATAACGCCATGTTCGTCCTTCGCACAAAACATCAGATACGCTAGATCTTTCACTATCTATATTTTCTGAAGTTGTAGCTAAAACTTCCTCATTCTCGAGTTCAGTAGTTGATAAATTACCTTCGTGTGCTTCTGGCTCACAAGCGTCATTATCACTCGCTTCACCATTGCTTTCATCCAGCTCTGCAACATCATCTTCTTCCCTATCTGATAGGAGTAAGGCATACAACTCAGCTTCACTCAAAGGTTTATTCTTTTTCCACATTTTGATATAATACTGCACACTTCAAGATCGATGCTTGAATTAAATTGATCAAAAAACGTGAAATACAGCTTTACACCAAAGTTAGACTTCTCGTCTCGGACGTTCCCATAAAATATGCCTATTAGAGACTACATTACTCCCAAGGTTAACTTATATCTACTAATATTTCTACAAAGATAATAATTTTGCCTTGAATACGTTTACTGGAAAACAGAGACGGCTGCGCTTTACTTGTACCTACAAACACATTGAAAAATTCTTCAAAATCCGAAGACCGGATCATAGATTTTACGTAGAGGAAAAACTGCAATTTGCATGTTCACGAATGATACACGAAAAAATAGATTGAAACAAATAAGGAGAACTTACGAACAATCAAATTTGTAAAAAAAATATTTCATGAAATATTAAGAAATAAGTGAATTTCGGGTCACGCAGTTGACCCAGTCTTCGTACTTCGAAGGTTAATAAGAATTTACTTAGGTCATATCGGAAATTCCGATGTATTAAAAAATACTATATGAATTTTTGTATAAATTTTATAGTGCTACTACAAAGCACGCAGGTTTTCAAACCACGCAGGTAAAAGAATTATCAAAAATTTCTCAATAAGTACGACTGTTTATGATTCAAATTGGGCTAAAAGTTTCCCAACATCTGGTATTGTTAAACCCTTTACTACACTCGCTCTGTTTTCTTTCCTGACTACACGCGTGGAATGCAGTAATAATCCATACGTACGAGGAAACTAAGCACTACACTTGCCAATTTTCCACAGTAAGATACATATCTGTGAAACATTTTGCATTCGATTTGGGAAAGTGTCAGCAAAGTTTCTAAAGAAAATTCATGGTGATAAAGGTGAAAATTGCATTTTGTACATAAGAAAAATCCATTTCCAAAGTGCATATAAAATGAAAAATTTTTAACTAAAAACTATAGACAGGAATGAGTATACGTTTGTTATCCGGGTGTTTACAAGATTATTAAACAAGAATTTGATAACAACGATGGTCCTTAAGCTACCTGGTGTACAGGGTGGATCACGTCTCTTGGAGTATGTAAATTCCATTTAAGATCAGTCAAGAGTCATAACTCATGGATTTTCGAGGTTACTGAATACAAATATGATAATGACAACGGTTCTCAAGCTACCTGGTGCCCATAGTGGACCTCGTCTCCTGGAGTTTTATGGTCTCCTTTCATTACTTGGAAGGTCTTCGAGATCTCTGAACACGACTATTGTGACTTCGATGATTCTTGAACTATCTGGTGCCCAGCGTGAATCTCCTCTTGTCAAGTTTTATCTTATTTTTATTGGAAATTGGTCAAAAGTCTTTAATCGGAAGTTTTTGGAGTTACTGATCACAAACATTACGACGGCGATAATCGGCAAGGTAAACAGGGTGAGTCATGAGGAACTTTACATACGTCTACCATGTGTAGAGTCCCTCAGGGAGTATATTATGTGGCCACTAAAAAATGTCAACTCCTCTTCTTTATTCATTAACAGGGTGATTTGTGTAATTGACCATTTATTTCATTCTTCTGTAGTGTTTATACGGCTCATTTGATTTTTTTAATTTTTGCATGATACAGTACACTACTATCAAGCATTCGACTGGTATTAGCTAAACTAAAAAATTCCAGGACTGGCTTTGGAAAAATTAATTTAGGGATTCGTATTAAATATTACACCCTGTATATATATATATTTTTTAAATACAATAAGTGATTTTTAAACTACATAAATAGCCAATGAAAACGACATATGCGGCAATGTTGTCGCACTTTTATTAAATTTTTAGTGAACGATCAAATCTTACCAAAAATAGAACAACCATAATGAATTATCAAAAAATTATAAAATAATTAATTTAAACAAATGTTATAAATTTCAAACATTTTAATTGAAATGATAAACTGAGTCACTGCACAACAAAAAACAGTAACTACTAACAATAACGAAGAACAATTAAAAAAAAAAACTAAAAATATGTACATAGTTATGATAAACCCATAAATTAGAACTGGAAAAGATACAATAATGGTAACAAAATAAAAATAATTTAAAATAAATTTTCGAAATGGAACCCTGCAGCCTGTACACATTTTTGTTGCCGAATTGTTAATTGACGTATTGAATTACGGATACTCTGGGGATCGTTTTTAATAGTATTACAACAATGTATAATTCTATCAATTAATTTTTGTCGGTTATTAATATTCACTGCGTAAACCAGTTGCTACAATCGTCCCCAAATATGGTAATCAACGGGATTGAAATCAGGGGATCTTAAACGCCACGAAATAGGACCTGCACGTCCTATCGACCTGTTGCCATAAACATTATTGAGATGTTGTCTCACTGCCAGTAAAAAGTGTGGGGGTGCCCCATCATGCTGAAAATACATCCCTCGGATAGCAACGTTCGCGTTGGCAAGCAAATTCGGCAAAATATTTTGTAGAAAGTTCAAATAGACCTGCCCTGTTAAAGGACCATCAAAAAAGTGAGGACCTACTAATTGGTTATTTATGACACCAATCCACACGTTAACCGAAAACCTTAACTGAGAACGACGTTCTCGAATAGCATGGGGATTTTCTTCTGCCCACACATGTGAATTTCGTGAATTATTTATCCCGTCTCTGGTAAATTTGGCTTCATCTGTAAATAGTGTCCTGTATAGCGTTGGTCGATTATTGTTAATCCATCTACAAAATTCCAACCTATCGATGTCATCTCCAGCATGTAGTCGCTGAACCATTTGAATGTGATATGGGTATAGATTATTTTTTTGTAAGACTCTACTTACTTGTGATTGAGTAACATTGAGTTCTCGACTTACTTGTCTAGTGCTTATTGTAGGGTTCATAGTAACGGCGTCCATAATGTCATCTTCCTGCGCTTCATCTACATGTCGCTCTGTTGTTCCACTAGGAAAAGTGCCATTTTCTCGCAAATAATTAAAAACTGTCCCAAATGTTGGATGACTGGGAGTTCGACGATTAGGAAATCTCCTGCGATATTCTCTACTAGCAGCCCTACCATTCCCATTACAGAATCCATAAACAAATATTATGTCTGCATATTCTGTGGTCGAAAACTGATTTGGCATTTTGAACGAAAGTAACAAAAGCTCTACCAAAACTAACACAATGTACTTAACGTAGATATGACAGAAGAAATACATCTGTATTCTTGTACACATAAATAACAATTGATAATGACAATAATGACAATGGGTATAAAATATCAAGAAACGTCAAACGGTCAACGCCAACCTTCATTTTAAACTTTTTTAGATTTATTTTTATTTAGTACAGTTGATGCAATGTATTATTATTTGACATAAAATTTCAATCATTTACAATCAACAAAAACTAACACATACAAGAGGTTTGACTTTTTAATCAATTTAATTTATTATTTATCGAAAATAATGCCCCAATACGATCTATGAGTAAAAATTTAAAATTGAAAAACAATTGACTCTATCGTAGAGATAATACAAAGTGACAGTAAAGATGTTAATTTTCTACGTATTAGATTATGTTGTAGGAACTCATTTTAATTAAAATGTTTGAAATTTATAACATTTGTTTAAATTAATACCTTATAATTTGATACTTCATTATGGTTGTTCTATTTTTGGTAAGATTTGATCGTTCACTAAAAATTTAATAAAAGTGCGACAATATTGTCGCATATGTCGTTTTCATTGGCTATTTATGTAGTTTGAAAATCACTTATTGCAATTAAAAATATATATACAGGGTGTAATATTTAATACGAATCCCTAAATTAATTTTTCCAAAGCCAGTCCTGGAATTTTTTAGTTTAGCTAATACCAGTCGAATGCTTGATAGTAGTGTTCTGTATCATGCAAAAATTAAAAAAATCAATTGAGCCGTATAAACACTACAGTAAAATGAAATAAATGGTCAATTACACAAATCACCCTGTTAATTAATAAAGAAGGGGAGTTGACATTTTTTAGTGGCCACATGATATGCTCCCTGACGGACTCTACATATGGTAGAAGTATGTAAAGTTCCTCATGACTCACCCTGTATAGTGTCTAGTATGGACCTTGTCTCCTAAAGTTTATTATTAGTATGTTATTTATAATTTTTATTGTCCTAAAACCTTTTTTTTAACAACATCTATACCAAAAATTACAACTGTAATAATTAGATGAGAAATGTATAAAAATATACTGATCCAAGCACTAGGTTCTACTGATCCAGGTATACTAATTGTACCTAGAAAAAAAAATAACAAATTAATAAAATTAAAAGCTCCTACAGCCAGAGTCAAAATTAATCTTATTTTTGACGACCTACCTATAAATATGCAGGCCAGTTTAAACATTTAATTAACCTTGTAGGTAATTACTTGCGCTTAATTTCTCGCTTAATATTAACATATTGTGCCAAATTTTAATAAATCAGTAAAATTTAAATTAAGCTTACACACTTTGCTCTATTCTAGATCAAATCTTCAGACCCCAAGCACAAGTCCATCCAGGTCCATTACCGAGAATGGAAAAACTAGGAGCGCTAACGAACCTGAGAGAGAAAGAGAAATGTTTAGGTAATTATAAAAAACGTTAAATGCATACAAAGAATTCTTTTTTATTTAATATATTAGAACTGGAATAGGTTTTTTTCAACTATATTATAAAAATTAGCCGAAGTGTACAAATAATTAGAAGCAAAAATAGTTCCTGTAATAAATGTGATCTAACAAAACTAAAAAACTCATTTTTTAGCTCAAACCTATTTTAGGCTTCTTAATATTTCCATATTTTCTCTCACTTTTTAATATATAAATAGTTCTTTTTGAAAACACTCAACGGGAACTGTACGAGTTAAGTTCTGTGTGCGAAGTGCCGAAATTTTGTCAAATTTTTCGGATATAAACAAAACTGTTATATCTTACATTTTAACCATATAGTTAATGAAACACAGTGAATCGTGAAACTATGTTATAACTGTCTCAAAGTGAGTTATACATAAGTTCTCTCTCTCTTCAATCCTGACCCCCCAGGGGGAGTGTAGTGGTCGACGTGATGTTGTATATTGTCCGTCTCCAGAGATCTTTGTCTCTGGTCATTTCTTTTAATTGATGGATAGATCTTTGGCATATTCCTGTAATTTGATCTATTCATCTTGTTGGGAGATCTTCCTCGTGATCTTCGGCCTTTTACCTTTCCTTGTAATATGAGTCTTTCCATGTTTTCTGTGTTTGCTCTCATAACATGCCCAAAATATTTTAATTGTTGGAGATGGACTTTACTAGAGAGTCATTGGCTAACTTTTAGCTCTCTTAAAATTGAATTATTTGTTTTACGGTCGGTCCAAGAAATTCGTAATATTCGTCTCCAACAGAACATTTCAGTTGCGTCTATCTTTCTTCTCTTCGATTGTCTCAGAGTCCAAGATTCACATCCGTAGGTCAGTATTGGGAATATTAAGCAGTTGATCAACTTCATCTTTATCCCTTTGAAATTTGACAGTCCTTCCATATTTTGGTCAGTTTTGCTGTGGCAACTTTTGCTAGATCACATCTACGTTTAATCTCTTCTTGTAATGACCCTGTGTTTGTAATTAATGATCCCAGATATAAGTATGAGCTCACAACCTCGAACCGGTCAATTGTGGTTATGTGTGGATGATTGTTGTGTAGTCTATCCACTATCATGATCTTTGTCTTTGATATGTTTAATTGCAGACCAAATATTTGACTTTCGTTTTCGATCAGTCGTATAAGTTCCATCAGCTCTGCTTGACTATTTGCAAGAAGGGCTGTGTCATCTGCGAAACGTAGGTTGTTTAGTTTATGACCATTTATTGAGATGCCCTTTTCCCATCCTTCAAGTGCTCTTCGCATAATATACTCCCTATATATGTTGAATAATTGTGGAGATAGTATACATCCTTGTCTGACACCCCGTTCTGGATGAAACTCGTTCGAAAGTGTGTCAAGTACTTTAACTGATCCAGTAGTGTGTTCATATAGTTCAGTTATAAGCGTAATTAGATGTTGTGGTACGCCTACTTCTTTTAGTATTCGCCATAAGTGTCTCCACTTAACCCTGTCGAACGCTTTACGGTAATCTATAAAACAGATGTATAGTGGGATGTTGAATTCCCTAGATTTCTCGATTATCTGTCTTATATTCAGCAGGTGTTCTCGAGTGCCTCTACCTTTGGTAAATCCAGTTTGCTCTTGTGGAATTTCTCTTTGGAGGAATGTTTTCAGTCTCTCATTGATTATATGTAGCATTATCTTGCTGGCATGGGATATAAGAGAGATAGTTCTATAATTGTCGCATTTATGGAAGCTGCCTTTTTTATGTATGGTCGTTATTGTAGATTTTGTCCAGTCTTCAGGCCATTGTTTGGAATGCCATATTTGGTTACAGAGTAGATGAAGTAACTTTACGCCGGTTTCTTCTGTGGCTTTAAGCATTTCTGCTGTTATCATAAATCTGGACCTGGTGCTTTGTTATACTTGAGCTTGTTGATAGCCTGTCTTACTTCATTTTCGAGTATATCAGGTTCTTCTTCTACCTCGTCAGAGATTTGGGTAACAGGCTCTTGGCGTTGATCATCTTTATATAAGTTCCTGCAATACGATCTCCATGTCTCTGCTATGTCTTCTCTGTTTGTTCTCAGGGTTCCAGTGTTATCTTCAATGGCCCAAGTTCTGGCTCTGAAGTCTCTTGTCAGGTAGCGTATTTTTCTAAATAGATCTCTCCGCTGATTATTCTGACCATGTCTATCAATTTCTTTGCATATACTTTGATAGTACTGTTTTTTGTCGGCCTTACATCTTCGTTTTATTTCTTTATTGAGGTTTCTTAAACTAGCTTTTTCCCTTTCACTATGTACACCACTTTTACAAAGATTTCTTTGCAAGTTAATCTTCTTCTATATAAGTTAATTAACTTTAATATCTTGAAGACATAACCAACAAATACACTAGTTCTGTCAATTTTTAATAAACATTGTTCTGTGATACTAGCATATCAGAATAGTCGCTAATTTCCTGTTTCGTATAGGCAACCAGTTTTACGGCATGCCGTATTTAAACGCCTATAAAAAACACAACCAATAAATATTAGTGATTAAGCCATTATCGCTTCTGACTACAGGGGCGAGATAAACTTTCCAACTGCAAATAACCGAAATATAACTGAAAGTAACAGCCCTCCAGTTTCATCTGTTGCTGCTGCCAAATCCATATCCAAAACTACGTATCTGAAAAAAGAGCAGGCTATAGTGTTCCATAAAACTAATAACAGTCTTAAATTATTTCACGTCAAATCAATTGGAAATATTTTTGGGCCAAAAAACATCAGCATCGCTTCCAGAATCTCGAACTACCGTTTGTGCATTTACCTAAACAATATAGAATGTGTGGACCTATTACTCACAAATAAGTTCGCGTAGGAGACGTAGACCATAGTATTAGAAAACTAGTTACACCAGATAAACGTCCAGTTTTATCAAATATATGTCCATCTATTCCACATGAGCTTATCGAGTAAGCACTTAAAGATTATGGCCTACGGATTGCTTCACTCATCTCGTTCCTAAGGGCAAGAATTTTGGACGACGAATATAACTATATCATTTCATTTCGTAGACAGGTCTACATAGTCCCACCGAATGATAACTACGAGATCCAAACTTCATTGATCATTCCATTTGAAGGTAATGCACATCGAAAATTTTTGTCTACCGATAAAATGCTCTATTTTTATGCAAGCAATCTGGACATGTAGCTAACAATTGCACAAATACAATTGTCTCTTCAGTTTCTACAGAGAATCCATCAACAACTGAAGAACTACTATACTCAGCTGTCCAAGGAATGAAGAGAGCCTTTTCGAATTCTGTCTATTCTAATGTAATCAACGTTTCAGAAACATAAGAAGAAGTTTCACCTGCAATGCCTCCTCCTTATCAAAATACAAACAGAAAACCAATAAAACAGGCTAGCAAGAAATTTAAAAAAATATTCGTCTGATAGTTCCAAAATCACGGATGCCTCAAAAGAAGCAATAAAAACTGTTTTTCATCACATTTTTTTTTACTTTTGTAGAAAATTTCATAAGTTTTCCTGAAAATAGTTATGGTAGTAGCAATATATTATCTGAAGTCCAACAGTTTATACATGACATCAAATCATTACTCTCTGACATGTATAATATTTATCCTTTTCTAACAGATAAATCACTAAAGTACAGATTTACAAAAATATCAAAAAAACTTAAACAAGATTTTCAGTCTGACACAGATACTCAGATATCTCCCAACATTTCCAAAAATCCTCATTTTAATAAACTTTAATCTAATCCAGTGGAATTGTGATGTGTTTTACCCTAGACTTGAACACCTTAAAAAGTTAATCCTTGATACTGCTGCCGACATAGTATGTTTACAAGAAACAAATTTCAAATCTGACCACAAACGACTTCTAAATGGTTTTGTAGAATATCATTTCCTGAGAACTGACTATCTTAGAGCTAGCGGTGGAACGTCCATATTCGTAACCAATAATCTCTACTCCACACATCTTCCCATTTGCACAAACCTAGAAGCTATCGCCTCTAACATTTGGTGTCCAAATAAAATTTCAGTTTGTAGTATTTACATTCCTACAAGTTATAGTTTATCCGAAGCCGATTTAGTGGACCTCATATACCAACTTTCTTAATTTTTTCTTTTTGTTGGAGATTTCAATGCCCACAATACATTGTGGGGTTTTGAAAAAACCTTCGTCCGAGGAAAAACTGTCGAAAGTGTATTGGATATTACCGATATTTATATGATGAATAACCATTTCAAAACTGACTTTAATATTGCTACTGGTACATTCTCCTTAATAGACTTAAGCTTGTGCCACCCAAGAATATATCCTAACCTCACATGGAAACCAGTTTACTATCTTTATGACAATAATCATTTTCCTATTCTAATATCTGAAAAATCTGCAAAACATTTCGACTCCTTTAAAAAATGGAACATTTCTAATGCCAACTGGGATGGCTTTCTATTATATACTGAAAACAAACTAAATCAGCTGCAGTTATTAGAAGATGCAAATGAAAATATTGGCGCTTTTAATACCTGTATAATCTCCGCTGCTGAAGCAAATATAGGACAAATAGCAATTTCTTTGTCTCGTAAAACAACACCTTGGTGGAATGAAAGATGCACTCTGGCTATCCAACAAAGTCAGGCATAATTAAACAAATAACGCAGAGACAGTACTAAAGTAAATTTAATTTCCTTAAAAAAACTGAGAGCCAAATCTAAGTATGTAATTAAACAAAGCAAAAAAGACTTCTGGAAAAAACACGTCTCGTCCATAAATACTGACCCTCCTTCTAGCAAAATTTGGAAAAAAATTAAACGCATGACAGGAAATAAAACTTATTTAAAAACCTCTGCTATACTCACTTAAAACAGCACAGTCACTTGTAGTCAACAAATTGTTAACATCTTGTGTGAAAATTTTTATAAGAAAGCAACAAATTGACTTTTATCATCAGATAACATCCCCTTTATTTTTATTAAAAA